TGATTTTATAAGTAGTAGTATTTCTCAGTGTAGATAAATAATATTTAGTTCACAGTAATAATAGGTTCAGATGGTACTATTTCTGCCCAAGGAAACTACTCTGGTTCTCTCTCCATTTCTCTCTACACAGTGCTCAGCCCTCTGAGAGGACAATATCATGTGTGCAAAGCTCAACCCCTTCACTAGCACCTGTTCCTTAAGGAAGTGTGTATGTGTGTGGTGTCAAGTGTCTCCCCAACCATGTGGAAGTCTGGCAGAAACCAACTGTTCTATTGGTTGGTATCTGGCTCCAAAGCAAAGTTTCATTACTTTGAAATAAAAAATAAAGTTAAAACCAGAACTATTCACAAAGAAATTATGTAAGAATCTGCACATTGGACTCCTCTCTACTCTTCTGTTGTGTAGACTGGGGTGGGGGAGAAGGAAAAAGGAGGGTTGAGCAGGAGGCTGGAATAGAGAGAATGGCTTGGGGAAGGGGAAAGAAGTCCTTCCCTGACAGTCGTAGGACACTTCGTTCTCTTGTATCTTTTCCCTGTGTCTCCTCAGGGGCAGCTGATGGGGAACCCAGATGTGGTGACCAGGAGCCTCGCTGTGAGTGACTTTAGGCCTCCCTTCATACCTACCGACTGACTAGAGCACGCTTCAGGTGGCATGCTGGCTAATACAAGGGGAGGGACACCAGCAGAGAGAAAAGACAGGGTGGCAGATACCCCACGTCTAGCCAAAGAGTTTGATTTGTCTGGTAAAACAATACCAGATGGAACTTTACTTTTCTCTTTTTCTAAAGGTGATCCTTGAGGCATCATCCTCTCCCCTGTACTGGCCATTGTAGGTGGTTAAACTGGACACTTCTTTCCATAAAATGAGAACAGATGCATAGAGAGTCAAGACATGCCCTTTGTGTTGGCTCATTGCCCTTCCTGTTCTTTCTGTGCCAATACTGTCTCCTGACCAGTGCCATGTCTTAAAAAAAATAGAACTTGCCTGGACTCTTATCAGTGACTTTTGTTTTGTTTTGTTTTGTTTTTTACTAACTTAGGGCTTAAATGGGTCTTCTTGAAACCAGATTGCTCTTTTCTGGCCTCTTTACTAAATGGTTTCTAACTCTTAGACAATGACATTTCAGTTTTTAAAGGTCCCTTGGGATGGAGATGCTTTCATCCTCCTTAGCAACATTTATAATTGTGCTTTGATGAGGCTAAAAACCTGACTACCAGGGGTGTTCTGTATCCCTAAACTAGGTTCTTGCTAGATGTCTTAGGAACGATGGACATTATCAACTGGCCTCTATGAAACCCTTTTCATAACTTCCAAACTCTCTATTTTCAGGGTGTTCTTATTTCTCAGAAAGATATTACTTTGGCATTGAATGGTACACTATTCCTGTGGTTGCCTTGCTATCTTTAGGTGAATGATCAGAAGTTCTGGAAGGAAAATGGTTGTGAGAAAATGATAGCTGGGGCGCCTGGGTGGCTTAGTCGGTTAAGCGTCCGACTTTCGCTTAGGTCATGATCTCGCGGTTCGTGGGTTCGAGCCCCGCGTCGGGCCCTGTGCTGACTGCCAGCTCGGAGCCTGGAGCCTGTTTCTGTTTTTGTCTCTCTCTCTCTCTCTGACCCTCCCCTGCTCACGCTGTCTCTCTCTCTCTCCTAGAAATAAATAAAACATTAAAAAAATTAAAAAAAAAAAGAAAATGATAGCTTCACTTCAGACAAGCCCCTGAGATTTGGAAGCAGTGTCACGGGATAAAGGCAGAGTAAGGAAGCCTTGTTCCTTTGTCCTTGGACCTTCCGGTCAGAGGGTAGCCTGTCAGACTTAGAAGGGGAGAGGAGGGACTATACCTAGTAGCCTCTGAAGCAAAGCAGAGAAAAATTCATGGATCAAGCCAAAATCTAGAACATTCTCCTCTTTCTGTTCAAAACCAAAAAGAACTTTCTAGAAACAGGCAGAAAGGAGACAACTGAACATCACACACACAACTAATTACTAAAAAGCCAAAGTGTGGAAATAAGAGAGTCTGGGCCATTCAGAGGACACATAAAAATCACGCTCACCATCCCCAGAACTTACACTGCACTCTTCAAGTCCTCTTGGTCCTCAGCCATTAGCAGCTTTCTCCTGTTACTCAAGGGTTCTTAGAAGATTTGACAGGTATGTTTTACAAGGTCATGGGGCAAGTTTTGCTCTAGGTGGAGGGTAAACATCACTTAATGGATGAGGTTCGTGATTTCATGACTGATTTAACCAGTCTGTCATGATGACAAGTGCCTTATGTCAGCCTTTTACCAACTGACCATGAGGGCATGCTAGAAAGACCCATGGGCCTAAACAGCCTCTGCAGCTGGCCAATGAAATTTGGTGATGCAGAAATCCAAAAGGAAAACAGAAACAGCAAGAAGGCTGAGTGAGTGTGAGGGTGTGAGTGTGTTTGTGTGCGTGTGGTCAATTAAGATTCCAAATTTCTATCCAGGGACCAAATGTACAGCAAGAACCAGGTATTAATCCAAAAGGGCTCCCATCTCTATTATAACTAAAATATTAGCAGTACAGTGGCAGATATCTTGGGAAACTAGACAAAGGATGGTACCTAACTGTAATTTCTAGAAGGCCTTCACAGCACTGAAAACAAACTAAAAAAGTTTGGATGGGTTGAGCTTGTAGAAACAGGAAGAAATGCTTCTGCTTCTAGACTGCAAGTTAACCTGGGAGTATCCAGCACATTTCTCCACTTTTTTCATGAATCTGTCCTTGAAAGTGAAACTCATCTTCAATGGGAAATGGACTTTCTCCAACTTTAATTTCTAGGCTGCTCATATCAGGACTGAGAGCACACTGGGCCCAGAAGACATCCAGCGGGTAAATCCTGGATGAATGGTTGGGTCCTGTTTTCCCCAAATCACTTCCTTTTCACCCATCATTGTTGAAATCTATTTGAAGGAAAGAGCACTGATAGGATGATATTCTAGGTGGACGCAAACGGGCATAAGAGATGCTCCCACAAGGTGTCTGGCTTCACTATCCCTGTGAACTACTGACGCTTCCTGCCCAGTCCTGGTCCCCTCCATGGCTGCCACACACACTAGGGTAGGTCTGGAGGAAATCCTGCTCCAGAGTGAGGAAGAGATGACGTGAACAAGACAGAGCTGACTTTTGGACGGACAAAGATTTTTACCTGGTTGCTGTTCTCTGGCCCCTGCTGTCTGAGTTTGGGTGGGGCAGTTGCCAGGAGGACGACTCCCTTCCCTCCAACCAGCCCGACTCTAATTCCATCCTCTCAAGTCAGTGTACACTTTCCTGAGGAAACCACTGAGGAAAGTTTGTGCGGTGGAAGTGAACAGAAAAGCCAGCCACCTCTCCCATGGGGGAAGCCGATGCCAGCTTGGTGATGTCCCCTCATGGTGAAGGACTGTCCCTAGAGAAAGTCCGAATCAGAAAATTGGAGCAGAGTAGATAGAATGAAGGCAGGAATAAGACATGTCCTGGTCTCTCAAAGCAAGACAGAGTACGAATACACTTATCATATAGTTTTGGAAAAATTGAGGGAAACGGAAGCGAACACAAGATATGCAAAACAGTATTGTCCAAACCTGTTTGTGGATCGCGGAGTAATGATTTACACTGGTGATACCTTTGCTCATTGTACAAATTAAAAGAATATTCGTTCCCTTTCCCCCAACCACATATAGAAAAGCACTTCAGAGTTCAAGGGTAAAGCTTGTCACACTCCAAATACAAAATGATTTACTTACATGCAGCAAAATATACAAGAAGTGAATTCAAAAACAAACTTAATTCAATTCATTATATTCGCTTGGCACAATTGCAATTCAGTTTTAAAAAAATATTTGTAAAATACTGAAACTGACCTGAATTCAAGTATAACAGTTTCTTCAACAGAAACATTATCAATGCAATAAAACGTTACACGGAATATATCGAAGCAAAACGCCTTCTTGAGTTTTCCCCTTAAATTTCTCTGTGTTTTTTTTTTTTTAAATACAGTTTTAATGCCAACACAACTCACAACTGTATTTTTAAAATGAATATTATTGCATTGTTTTTGCATATCTTGTGGGACAGAAAATGCAAAGAGTTACTGATTCCCGTTTCAGAAGCAGAGATAGTGGTTTGTTTTTGCTTTCAAATGGCCCCAGATTCAGATCTCCCCACAGTTAGACCAGAAAGGGGGAGCTACACACTCATTCACGCATGGGCGCACAACATGGGTGCCCATACACACATAAGGACATGTGCCCTGACAACTCACTACACACACACGTAGTACATTCACTCACAGAGACTTTCCAATCCGTGCTTCCTCTCTCTGGCACCCACGGATGCACCCAGCATTAAAAAGAACCCAACTCAATCACCCATATGTGCAAGACCACATCAAGTGCATGACCTTTAAATTATAAAACCAAACCCCCCAAATTTGTTGTTACTACCTACGGAAATTATAACAAATTATTGCGCATACACAATGGCTGGTAAAACTCGCTCACAGCGGCTCCACTGAACCCACCGTAGAAAAAGAAAACCACAACCGTTTAAATACAGTAAAACCAAACCTGATTTACATTTGCAAAAGTGAAAACAGTAAGGTGGGTGGCTACAAAGCTTTGTAAACACTTCTTCCTCCCCTCCCCCTGGGAAAACAAAATGAAAATAAAACCAAAACCAAAAAAAAAAAAAAAAAAAAAAAAAAAAAAAAAAAAAAAAATGCAACGTGCGATCAAGAAAAATGTCAAACCACAAAACAAAAGAGCGCTCAACAGAAGCTCAGCACCACCTCCTCGCGTCAAGAGCTGGCTGCCCNAATACAGTAAAACCAAACCTGATTTACATTTGCAAAAGTGAAAACAGTAAGGTGGGTGGCTACAAAGCTTTGTAAACACTTCTTCCTCCCCTCCCCAAAAAAAAAAAAAAAAAAAAAAAAAAAAAAACAAAAAAAAAAAAAAAAAAAAAGAAACAAAACAAAACGAAAACTGCAACGTGCGATCAAGAAAAATGTCAAACCACAAAACAAAAGAGCGCTCAACAGAAGCTCAGCACCACCTCCTCGCGTCAAGAGCTGGCTGCCCCTTCCCTGGCAGAAGGGACTCCCCCCCACGCTGGCCCAGCCGCCGTTCTGGAGCTGGGCGCCCAGTGCAGGCAAGGTGGTCCTGACGCAGACCAGTGGGCGTGGCCGGGGGCCTTGGCCGTGAGGCCGCCACGCCCCCTAGCCCTCCGCTCCGGGTTCCCGAGCTCCTGCGGCTTCTTGCTGGTCCTCCTCCCTCTCTGGGATGGGCCTGGGTCCTCGCTGAAGTCCTACCCCTGCTTCCTTCTTCAAATCCACAGGGCCCTGGCTCTATGGAGACAGTGAGGCTCATACAGAATATGTGCAAAATGATTTTTTTTTTTTTTTTTTACAAGCAAAGTTGAAAGACACCCGTTTGACATAGGGTCCTTTCGGTGAGGGCTACCGCAGGAAGCTGAGGTTCTCTTTCATGCCCGGAGGCGAGGGCAGGTGTCTCTTCTCTTGCTCTCCCTCCCCGACTCTTCCACGCCTCCTCACCACTCTACCTCTGTGCACACAACACAAACTGGGGTTGCTGCCTTCCATGCCCCCGAAAAACTGACTCTCCACCACCACCCAACTCTGCGTCTTGTCCCAACGAAATGAATGAAGACGCTGTTCCGGTTAACTCCAGGTCACGAGAACAGTGAGGCACTTCTGAAACGAACCCATTAGGAACATTGAAACAAATAAAAAACCCAGCGTCTCCCCGCCCTAGCTACTACAGGCTGCCGACGTGGGCTCTGCTGTCCTGGAGCTCCTCCTCGCTCTTCCGACACGCCAGGGGGGGCGCGCAGGTCTCGCCCTCCCGGACCTCTGCCCTGTCCTGCCCTGGGTCCCTGCAGTTAACAAAAGGTAGTAGGGTGCCGTTGGGGCTCTGCTGGGCACCCCCACTGAGGATGTTGTCTGCCGCGTTCTCCATCTCCTCTATGGTCATGTCACAGGCGTCAGCCAGCTCCTGGGTTGTGACCTCGATAAACTTGGGATCTTGAGCAAACTGCCCCAGTCCTTCTGAAATCAAGACCTGAAGCAGGGAGGGAAGACCATGAAGAAGAACCAAAGAGGAACATTATTCCTGGAGCTCGACTCTTCTCTTTAGGGCTAGAGCAAGGGGCTTGTGATTGGTACCTTTGGGAGGGGTGTGTGTGTGTGTGTGTGTGTGTGTGTGTGTGTGTGTGTGTGTGTAGGGGTGCACACAGGAAAGGAGTGGACAGTGAACATTGCCCAAAGGAATCACGGAGAGATGTTTCGACTGGGGCACTCAAAAACTGTTGTCAAACCCATGAGAACTCGGCTCGCAGAGGGCCCAGAGGGGTGCTGCTGTGACATGGTGGAAGGCAGAACCCAGCTTTCCCGGTCTTTTCTCCTTCCTGCCCCCCTCCATGCCTCCCATATTCTTCTTGCCAAGAAACCATCCTGCTTTTGTGACACTTGTTAACCTTTTGTTGCCTTGTGTCCCTGGCCGATTGCTGGCTGACTGCCTTCGCGGGGTGGGATCGTGGGGGTATGTGCAGAAAGGTGTGTCTGTACCTGCTTCTGCTCTAGCTCCAAAGGGCCAGCAAGTGATCCCAGAGCTGCTCCTGCCTTCCTAGTGACTGGCTCTGAGCCAAGGGGAAGGGATTCATAGTGAAGCCTGGAATGTCTTCCTCCCGGTTCTGTTTGCCCCATTCCCCTACCCCATCACTCTTTATTTCCTCTCCTGCTTAAGTTTTCCTCAGAGCTCCCGCCCTGTGGGACATGCCACACACATGTTTATTTATTGTCTGTGCCTCCTCACCACGGCTTGAGCTCATGCGAGCAAAAAATGGTCTCTCAGCTGTATCCTCGCACTTAGAACAGAGCCTGCACGTGGTCGGCACTCAATGGGAATCTGTAAACTGAATGAGGGATAATCAAGGTCAAGTGAGGAACAGGGTTTTGGAGCTGGAAGGGACCTTAGAAGTCACCTGGTTTACCTCTCTGCCTCCTGCATGCCAGCCTGATGACTGGACGGGTGCCACCTCTGCCTGCATGTGTCCAGTAATGGCGGGCTCACTCCTTTATAGGAAAGCCCTCCTCATTTGGGAGAAGCTCTGTTGGAAAGGTCTTCCTCATGTGACCTGAAATCTGCCCGCCTGGCAGATGGATCTGTCACTCCAGGCCCTCACTTAAGAGCCCCCGCCCAGGACATGAGGGGACTCACGGGTTTGAGATGCTTGTCATGGCCTCTGAAGCCATCCCCTCTCCACGTTTGCTTCCCTAGTTCCCTGGACAGTTCTTATAGGAAACGGCATCTAGGGAGCTTGCCAACCCCTTGCCGTGTCCCCCTTTGGGCTTGTTCCAATTTGTCACCGTCCCCCAAAATATGGTGCCAAGACTGCACTAGCTGTTCTGGGCAGGACAGAGCATGGAGGAGTTGCAAGCACTCTTGTTCTAGAACAGCGATTCTCACCCCTGGCTGTGAGGGCTTTAAAAAATATCCATTTAATGTGTCCTAGGTTTCTGAAGCTCCCTGGGTTGTTCTAATGAGCCCCAGGCTTGAGAACCACAGATGCTGATACTATACAAACCCAGCCTAGGCCCACATTTGCATCTGGAGCAGTCAGAGCTCACCTCTGGCTGTACAGTGGTGCCTCCGGCCCTGCTTGGGGTTCACTGGCCTGCAGCAGGGATATGTTGCTGAGTACTTTCTCCTCCCGCGGCAAACACAGCTCAAGCAGAAGCCTATAGTGTCTTGTGTGATTACCATTTTCTGCACACCTTGCCCGCCTTCGGTAGGCCCTAGGAGTCAGGGTCTTTCTGGCCAAGAGACTCGACATCCATTCTACTTGGGAAAGGACCAGACCCTTCCTTCTCCATTCTTCATGCAAAGTCCCCTTGCTGCCCTGGCCTCTCCTTCCCACATCTGGCTGCTGTGCGCCTGAGGGTCACTTACCGCTTCCACCAGGCTGCTGGCGCTGCCGTGGAATTGCCTGCCCCGGCCCCCGGCCTGGTTAGGCACAGTGAGGGACACTGGCCGGGCTCTCCGGATGGTGCTGCTGCCCCCACCACAGGGCGTGGGCTCCCCAGACCAGGAGCTGCAGTGGATGGACGGGAAGCTGCTGTTGAGTTTCTCGCTGGACTCGGCTCCCTCCAGCCGCAGGGTGGGGATAGGCTGTGGGGGCCAGCCTCGGCTGCCCGGCGTGGCTGGCGGGGTGGCACAGGGCCTGGGGGATGTGCTGGGGGAATGGCTTCTCTGCAGGAGGGGGCTCAGGCCTGCCACCGCCAATGCCTGCGGACACACAAGGGGCATGTGTTACTGGAAGGGGTCAGGCCTCTGTCTATTCTTAGCAGCTGTTGTTCCCAGCTAGCTCCACCTGCCTGGAGCCCACACCCATCATTTTCAGCCCCCTGAATCCCACCCTGTCACGACCCAGTGCTCGTGTCTGCCACCCTAAAATATATTTAGGGTGATCATGTCTGTCTGCAGTGATCACTTTTGCCTCCAAATCCAGAAAGTTGCGAAGGAGTGGAATCAAGATCATCTGCTTCTCGGCACTGGTCCTATAGCCAGTCAGCTAAGAATTCTCTGGTTTTCTCCTGAGTGGTCTAGAAGGAATGCTGCCCTTATCAGCTGTACAACCAGGACACGAATGCCCTCTATCTACCTATCTTGCGGGGTTGATATGAGGTTCAGGTGCAATATGGTCTGTGAAGGAGTATACTATGCACCATAAAGTGTTAGACAAAAACCGGTACTTACGGTTTTAATTTTCACAATTAATCAGGTCATTAAGAATGTCACGCTGATCTTTAGCTCAGCTTGTCTCTCAGTTATTGTCCAAATCTTAAACTGTGCTGTGATTAGACTATTTACATGTTGTGTCCTCTAGCCCCTATGTCACCACCACAATGAGCTGCTCTGAGGGGACGTGTCCACAGGAGAGTGGGCAGTGGGAAAGCCCAGCCTGAGAGGCAGAGGGAAGGGAACATAGTGGTGGATTGGGGGGTAGTGGAAAGGCATGAAGGGGAGTGTAAATAAAGGGGACATTCTTGACCTCATGAGAAGAATAGATGGGTGAAATGAACTTCTAGAAATCTTTTTAAATAGCACACACAGTGTACCCCCCCAGCCTGCCTCTCCTGTCCATAGTTCTTGATGGTCCCCAGCCTGGGTCCCTGATCCCCTGGAGATCTGAGGGAAGTATGAGGCTATGCTCAATACTGCAGAAAGCCTAGTGGAAATCATATGTGTGCTGGCAATGCCACATCGTTTAAGCAAAACAGTGGACACTTTGTGCTGAAATAATACCAACTTAGCTGAGCCACACTGGCCATCTTTTGAACATTGTAAGTTTTGATTGGCAGTTGAGTGCTCTTGGGTATTAAAAGAAATAATCTGATACATAGGCCTGTGGTGAGGGAGTATACAGTTTGAAAGGTAAAATGTTTAGGAAATTTAGACCTTAATTTGCCCAGAGGTAAGACTGGGCTTTGGTCTTTTGAGGTTTGCATTAGTTTTAAGATCCTGAGATTATGTTGGACATTGGTGTCTTGGATTTCACTGGCTCAGCTGGAGTCAGCCATGCCAAGAGGTACCTCATCTATCAAATCTTTCTGGACCTGTCTTCTTTGAGTATCAGTCTCTACTCCTGACCATGTTGCTGGGAGAGTCTTTGATCATTTCTAAGTTTTGGTGTATCTTGCAACTCTATGTAAGTACATCTATAACTGTGTAACTAACTCTATATGTAAGTACATCTGCCTGAGTGCTCTGCAGTGTAAGCCAATGTCTGTGGAGAGAACATCTGCGCCATTGTAGGAAGAAAAGTGAGGCAGAATCCTGGCACTGCTGGTCCTCTGGGACCACATGAGGAGCTCCTGCTCACCAGGAGCTCCCCCTTGTTGGGGGCTGTTAGTGCCAGGGGTTGGGACTATGACTGGTCAAGACAAGGAAGACTGAGTGGCATCTTAGGATGTGCCATAATCATGGGGGTTGTGTGGCCTGTGGGGTGATGGCTAGTGACACATCCGAAAGTCTGGGCTACCTGATGATGAACCAGATGCAAGGGCAGGACTGTCTTCTGAGAGATGTCTCCCCCTTGATTCTTCTGTCGCTTCAGACATTCCAGGTGGAAGGAGGCCCTTCGACCTGCAAAGCCAGCCAAAGAACTGTGATCAGCGTAGGGAAAGGAAACACGTCTGTGAGGCTCATACCCCGGGGGGTATAGAAGAAGCCATGTTAGTGGCCCTCGGATCATCTCCTCTCTACCATTTGCCTCCCATATCATGTAGCATATGGTCAAGTTGCACCCAGCAAGCCCTGCCCTTAGAATCCTGTCTCATCACTGGGCAGCCACTGTGTGTGGGTTGTCTGAGCCAGGCCACAGCAGTTTCTCAGTCACCCAAATGCCTGACCAGTCATCCTGGGGGTGACCCCTCACTGGTCATATCTGGAGAGACAGAGATGTGAGTATTTACCTAGTGAGGCAGAGCGGAGGAAGCCCCTCTTTGGAGATTGCCGGATGTCCCTCTTGTCCTCCTCGGGTGGTGTTAATTGCCGATTTTCATCATCCTGATAGGAGAGCCTGGAACAGAGAACTCCTGAGGCTTATTCCGGGAGGCTGAGAAGTGTCACCCCAGAGAGACAGCTGCCACCCATGAAGGCAGCTTGCTTTCTCCCTTGGTGAAGGGAACCCCGACTTTGTGCTTTCCTAAAGTTCAGTGAGGGGGCAGCAGGAACTCCCCCCTCAGGCTGGGCCTGACTCTCTGGCATCACATGTTTCCAGCTCCTCATACGTGCCTTATGTCTGCTCATCAGCTTTGCATTTCTGATTTGAGGCAGTGGAGGCGTTTTTGAGTCAAAGTTGGTGAGAAAGTTGGAAAACAATTTTCAACTCACAAGATTCTTTCCAGGAACAGCCTAGGCTCCTCTGTTTACATAGGTGGGTGCTATTTACCATGAGTACTCCCAATTTCAGCCCAAACTTCTCTCCTTCCCCTAATTTCTCCCTGGCCTGCCCACACTTCATCATCAGGACAAGTGGTTGCCTACAACAAACATCTAGTCAGTGACTAGCAGAGCTATAAGAGGCCTTAGGGGGCATCTACTCAATGGCTTCTAAGCCTTTTTGATGGAGACTCACAAAAAGAAATAAACTGCTCGTGGTCCCATATACATAGACACACCTAACTGAACTCAACTTCTTGAGCCATACTTACCTTTACTGCATGCATTGCACTCTGGTGGCTTCTATGCTACTTTAGTCTATGCTAGTTCATCAAACAATGTCAGCTGCAGTCCACTAAGTTGATTTCATAGTCCCCAGCGGGAGCAGCCTATAGTCCAAGAAGACAGGTGCATTCTAGCCCCTTCATTTTACAGACAAGGCCACTGACACTGTCCCTGTGTGACTCCACATGCTTTGAGGCAGAGACTGTGCCACCTTCCCTGCTCCTAGCATTCTGACCTTGAGCCTTTGTAGATGTGCAGGAAAATTTCTGATTGAAAACCTCCAAGCCCTTCCTCTCATTTTTGACATGGTGAGCTTGTCCTATTATATTCTCTTCTTATCCAAATTGTACCCACTCTCGAAGACCCAGCTTTTGTTTGATCTTGTGCAAGGAGCCTGTTATGGTGACCTTGACCCTGACATTATCTGAATGTCTGTTCCTTTCATTGCTTGTACCACTCTGTGAGTAATTAGTTAGAACAATCTCCATGTTATCTGCCTCTTCTGAGATCTTAGCTAGCTGTAACATATCTTTGAGTGCTGAGGTTGGTTTATTCATGGTCTAGCAGAATGCCTAGATGCACCAAGCACTCAATAAGAGCCAAAATGGATGGAAGCATATGCTTTTCCTGATTTCTAGGGTATGTGGCCATGTGAACATTTACAGCCTCTACAAATCAAAAGGCTAAAGGGGGCTGGTCCTTTATTTAAGGAAAGCTTCTAAAACAACGCATCTTAAACTTTTTGAATGCAACCCACAGTCATAAATACATTTTATGAGTCTCAGTGCACACATACATTTATTGGCAATTAAACAAGTATTTCACTAAATAATACCTTTGTGGCATTGGATACACTATTATTTATTGTCTTATTCTAACCTATTCAAGGTATTGTGTACTATTTTATGATTGTGGCCTGGCTTTCTGGAGCCTGGGGAGGTTTCTGGGGGAAGATACAGAGTTGCTTTTTTTGTCTCTTTGTTGATTCCAGAATCCTCTGGTCTTCAGCCCCCTGGAGGAGACCATTCAAGACTGAGGAAGAGGCTGCCTGGGGCTACTGAGCCTGCTGGGCCAGACAATAAAAGGCCATCAGGAAAATGTACCAAGACTACAAACGCAGCACGGGCATCAGCTAAAGTGGATAAACTCCAGCCCTCAGAAGGCTTCAGCCTCTAAAAACTATGGGGAGAATCTAAGCAATTAGTAGCTGATAATCTCAGGGCCAGAAAGCTGACAAGACAAAGGTGTAGATGTGATGTTCGGCACTGGAGATCTTCAAGCACAGTCCCAGCAGACAGCATGCTGGGATGGTGTTCACAACTACCAGGCCCGAAACTTCCTTCCAGCCCTGAAGCTGGAGGAAGAAGCCTTCTATGGTAGCAACTGCAAAGAGCCAGGCATCAAAGCACTTGTGAGGCTTGTGAAAGAGGCTGACTCAGACTACACATAGGTTGAGAATCATAACAATCCCTGTTATGACCCATCCAGCAAAGAAGACAGCCCCAAATGGTCTATGGTGGATGTACAGTTTGTTTGGATGAGGAAGCATTTCATTATCCTGGCAGAACTCAAAACCTATCACCAAGCTCACAAAGCTACTGAAGGTCCCTTAAAAGAGGTGGCTCTCTTCACTCGCTGAGACTCAACTCAGCCCCTGACCCAAGAGGAGTCTGATTTTATTTTGAGCTTAGAGAAAAAGGAACCAAGTTAACTAGAACACTTTGCTGGAATGGGCAATACATTACTCCAAAGAAATCAAACTTTTATAAGACAAAAGAAGGTGTGAGGAAGCTTGTGTGTCATGTTCACCTGGGCTCATGTCCATAGGTGGTTTCATGTTTTTTCTTTTTCTTTCTTCCTTTCTTTCTTCCTTCCTTCCTTCCTTTCTTTCTTTTTCTTTCCTTCCTTCCTTCCTTCCTTCCTTCCTTCCCTCCCTCCCTCCTTCTCCCTCCCTCCCTTTCCTTCCTTCTGTCCTTCCTTCCTTCCTTCCTTCCTTCCTTCCTTCCTTCCTTCCTTCCTTCCTTCCTTCCTTCCTTCCTTCTTCCTAAAAGATTTTATTTTTTAGCAACCTCTACACCCAACATGGAGCTTGAACTCATGACCTCGAGACCAAGAGTTGCATGCTTTTCCAATTGAGCCAGCCAGGTGCCCCTCGTGTACCTTTTCCAATAAAACATTTATATATAAAAAAAGTATTGACCATAATTAAGTAAATGTCACAACCCTCTAATGGGTCTGGATTTGTAGTTAAAAAACCCTTCCCTTTAGAATTCCAGCACTGACAAAACTCTCGGTCACTGTTTGCCAACAGTGCCCTCTGCTGGGTAGCTTTATTATAAGAAGCTTCATGAACATTTACTTGTGAATCCATGTATATGTGTACTGAGTCTCACTGTAAAGTATGTTTATGACAGTTGGTTTCGGTAAAAGAAATTTATGAAACAATGTTTTAAAGTTTTCTGGAAGCACTGCATCACAAGAAAGGTCAAGATAACCAGGGGATAGTGTGTGTGTGTGTGTGTGTGTGTGTGTGTGTGTGTGACATCCATCCATCTCCCTAAGGAGGTGACAGATGCTTTAGGCATCTTCTGATATATGATCCCCTCCCCAAGTCATGCCCAGAGGAGGGAATCCAGGGAGCTTCCCTTCACCCCCAGACCCTTTCCTGCACATGGGCTAGCCTGGGGCAGAGCTCACATCTCTGTGGAGATAAGGCTGGGCTCGCTGCAGTACTCCGTGTCTTCACTCATCTTCACGTCATAGGTCTCGCCCTGAGAGACCTCCTCCTGACACACCATGGCTATCTGGCTCTCCCGGGAGTGGCACCTGAAGTGTCCAAGATGGAGAAATAAAGTCAGAAACTGCTAATCCCCACCATTCCTTCAGCAGGTGAGGTGGTACGCACACACATGCACACGCACTCACACATGCAATGCACTCGCACAGTGAACACGCACACACATACGTGCACTCACACAAAACCGCTGTGGCCTCTTCCTCCTGCAGCCGCTGACAAAGCTGCAGAGCCACGGAAGCAGTAAGATTAGTTAGAATTCCATGTGGAACAGGCATCTCTGGGGTAGGGTCCAAGGAGATCTGAGTTCTGACCTCAATTCAGTTGCCCTCTGGCATAAGTCACTAGCCCACTCCATGCCTCAGTATCCCCATCAATAAAAGTGGACTAACGTATGCCCTGCTTGACTCAGAGACTTGTTGGGAGTAACAAATGAACTAACAGGTGAGGTGTTTTGAAAGGGGGAAAGGACCAGCTTTTAAAACAGGGTCCTGGGATGCTCTATACAGGTCGGGGTGGGCCTGTGTGAGGGCTGTCCTCTTCTCTGCTACAGACAGCTGGGGCTTTGGGTGCTAGTTGGGCAGAGCTGGAAAGTTCCTGGTGTCACATTGTTACATGGCTTTGGGTTTGTCATTGGCTCCTTGGAGTGAAGGCACAGAGAAGAAGCCTCACATAGAGGGGTTTGTTCTCTTGGGCAGTGGGCTTGACCCCCTGCTGAGCTCCAGACCCCCCCACACCAGGATGTACCTTGGATTATTTTGCTTTCCCTCTGGACAAGGATCTTCTGCTCATTTGGTCATGTCTTCTTAGCTCTGGTTCAGGTGTTCTCCCTTTTCCTGACTGTGCCTCGCTCAGCACCTCCCTCCATATTTCTTCCCATAGATCCTGAAGGTTGGGCCCACTTTACTCCCAAACCCATGGAGGCATCAGGGAAATATGCCAGTTTATTTTCTCAGGGCTGAGTGCTGGATCGACACTCTAGATTTGACCCTGAGTCTGTGGGCTGTGTGCAACTCCGGAAGCTACCGTTCCTGGGCACCTACCCAGTTCTCTGGAGAAGGCCCTAACAGATGGCTGCCCACCCCACAGTAAGGATAGATGAAATGTTGAAGGCTCTTGATGGGGTGGGAAAAGAGAGATGGGAAAGGAGTTTTGGTGAGGCATGATGGGATGAGCTGGAGATGGAGAATGGCAGCAGGCAGGCAACACCACTTCTTGGGGGACACTGTATGCAAGACATGCTGGCCTGTCCCCATCAAAAGCAAGGCTAGTGCTGGGGCCACTGCACATAGCCTTGAGCTGCAAGATGAAGGATGAGGCCCCAGAGCTACAACTTTGGTTAAGTTGTTTCTCTCACCAAGCTGAAGCATACTGCCTTGAGTGTTGTGTACTATGTTGGGAAGGGAGGGAGCTGATGTTTAGTGAACACTTACTATGTGCTAGGCATTGTGCTAGGTGCTTTGCATGTACCATATTTCATTGATAGATGTATCTGTGGGGAGAGGAAGACAATCCCCTGATGTCTCTCCCTATCTCCTCTCTAAAAACCCTTCTCCTTTTCATTTAATACGGAACACAGTTTAATTGGAAAATATCCTTTGAAGGAGGTATTAGTTTACACTGAGAAGCTAATGATGGACACAATAAGCCTTTCTTAAGAAGAGGTTTTCATAAGGGAAACAAGGGAGAAAATGGTACTAGGACTGAGTCCCTGAATGTTGTAGAAGGGGAAGAGGTTTGCAGAAAAGGGAGGGGGCCACCAAAACAGTCAGGGGCCAGCCACTTAAACTTTGATATTCCCCTGTGCAATGCTAACCCTTTCAGATCAGCATACAAAATCTGGTGCCACGCACACTGCCCTGTGCATAGAAGGCATCGATATACATCCCTTGAGCAGGACTCACCCAACACTGCTTTTGGGTGGTTTAACCAGCCAGTCTTCCAGGCAGTAAGGTTGACTGATGGCCAATTTGACTTGGCTGTCATCAGACACTGTTAAATGCCCAGGCCACGTATGCTTACATGGAGCCACTTGAGAATGGGTGGTAAGAACAGAAGTGAAAACCAGGAGGCAGGTATGCTGGCTCCTTAGTTGAAAACAGCTTCAGGATGCTTGTCCAGAAAGACACACTTCACGATTATTTTCTAAGCTCACAAGCAAGAGAGCTGCCCAGGAACAACAGCATGCTGGGGGTCTGCCTGGCCTGCTGTGGTGGGGGAGCTGTCCTGCTCTGGAACAGCAGCTCAACTAAGGGTGAGTGAAGTGGCAAGATGTGGAGGCATGTCCTCTCCCACCGGCTTTGGGAACCTGGAGCTGTTGAAAGAAAGAGGAGGGAGACCCTCCAAGCCCAGGCTGTGCTTCCTGAGGCCCAGAGCATGAAAGTAGGCACCTACCGTCCCAGCACATCATAGCAATGCATCCTGGAGCACCAGGGAGCAGAGGGTGGGGAGAAAAGCATGCGTCAGGAGGTGGGAGATCAGTTGACTACCAGGAATGATCCTATGCTGGGGCAGAATGAGCAAGTGCTAGGGTGAAGGGCCTCCTGCTACCAAAAGGCCCCTCCCAAGAGGGTTGAGAAGGGTGTAAAGAAAAGGTGGTCGCTCCGTCCCCATCCTAATTAGGCCAAAAGCCAGGTGTGAGCAGACTTGGGAAAGGCCAGGGGAACAGAGTCTATTGTGGAGCCAGGATGCTGACATCCCAGGGATCAGGGGCTAGAGCTCCTCTGCTTGGTCAGCATCAGAAAGCACAGGAGGCTGTCTGCAGGCGTGCATCTCAGGGCACTTGTTGGCCAGTGGGGCCATTGTGCCTTCTCCCGAGGGTGGCTGCCACATGTAATCAAGGGCAAGATTGGGAAGTAGCATTTGCCTATCTATTGATGGGGCCTGGGGCAGCAGTCTCCATCCCAGCTTGAGGGGTGAGTGGTAGGCCTGGGGGCAAAACTCTCCCCCCCATCCACTCTGGGCTGCAGTGTGTGGGGCCCCTGTGCACGGGCCCTGGATGCCCCACCCTCCTGCTTACCTCTTGGAGCTGAGCTTCCATGCTGCCTCCTGCACCCGGACAGCAGGAGACAAGGGGGGCCCATGGCCCTCCACGGTGCTGACCGCGCTGGGGTAACCAGCAGGGCAGGGGAAGCGGCCCAGGGCAGTGTTGTTGGCATTGTTGATGTTGGCGTTGGAGCCAGTGGACGAGTAGCTGCTGGGGGTGAAGGTGGAGTCCACCAGTTTCTCGTGGGATGGCGACTCGGTGTCGCCTTGGCTGTTACCCGCCTTGTTGATGTGCAGTGGGCGCTGGGTGGTGAAGGTCTGGGGGAAGGCGCTCCTGCCGTCGCTTTGGTAGTAGCTGACGTGGTTGCCGAACAGGCCACCGGCCCTCTGTAGGCAAGACGGGAGGGGTGGGTGGAGGAGAAAGTCCCCTCAGCTACCTCTCCTTCTCAGCAAAGGCACGGAAGGTTGTCTGCCTTCCAGAGAGCACAACCACGCTGGGCAGCACATTGTGGATGGGGAACTCTTCACCTGCGTGGCCTGGTGGCTTGAGAGGGAGGGACCCGGAGAGTCCTCTCTGAAACCACTGGGTGAACAGTGAGGGACAGGACCTCTTACAACAACCAGTCAGGCAGGGAGGCTGCTCCCCTGGGACTTTCTAATGAAGCCCCTGAGGGGTTCATTAGAAATGAAACTCAACTGGCACTGAGTTTCAAGGACCAGTGTGGGATGGCCATCCTTAACTGCAGCCAGCGCTGGGCTCGGCAGCTGTGAGGCATGGTGAGGGCTGAGGGGTGGGGAAAGGGACCAGGGGATTCTAATGAGAATTTCAAAAATGGAGATCCAACTGGCTCACTGAGCTAGAAACTATGTTGGTGAAACGGTTTTGAAAATAAGGATGACACACTGACTCCATGAATTCTATCATGGCGTTCTCTCCCCTGGGAGATTCTCAGAGATTTCAAATCAGGACCCAGTGTTTTTTCCCAACACTCTTTCCTTGTCCTGGGTGAACGGGAAAGTAGCTATCTGCAAGTTGATCTGTGGGGTCTCGCTGGGGCAGTGTTAGCATGGTGCTGAGTCCCTGAGGCCATTCGGTGATGGACATTTCACGGTGATGAGGATGAGGATGGTGATGACAGGGCGGCCACAAGCAGGGCAGGCCGTCTTCCCTCCCGGTGACTCCACAGCCCAGGACCCCTGTGTGGTGCCCCCTGTGGGGCCTGGAAGGGACAGCTGTGAGCAGGGCCCCATTGTAATGGTGGTCAGTAGCTTCTCCCTCACTTGGGAGGGGTTTTAGCCAAATACCTTTGGGCTTAGGCAGGGGCCACAATGCATGGAGGGAGCAGGATGCAAGAGTTCCATTATGCTGGCAGAGTCAGGTTTGGTTTTCACTTCTAAAACTGATGCTCAGCCTCCATATCCAGGACAGGAGAGGGAAGGAAGGCTGGAGGGGAGTTTTGTGACCTGGAGAACACATGCTTTATCTCAAGAGGACAATTGCCATTTGGCTCCATTCCTCTGCTACCATGTGGGAACATAAGCCAGATTTTCTGATTTTTTTAAAAGAGAAGCCAGAGGTCTAGATTTTTATTTGAATGTGCCGGATTTCCAAATGTCGGCAAACAAAATAGGTCTGCAGATTAGATGTGGCCCAAGAGCCCCCACTTTGCAACTTCTAATGTAGAAGTTTCTCCTAGGAAACGTTTCCCTTAAGAAATTGGCTCCTTCTCTCTTTCTCTGAGAGCCAGTGACACTCTGTAAGCTGCCATGTCCTGGGAGCCCAGAACTGAGATGGAGTCAGGCTTGGAAAAGGTGCAGGGATAGGAAATAGCTGAATGGGAAGAGCTTGACATCTGCCACAAAGCTCAGGGCTTTCTCCCTGGATTTTCTTAGCAGAAAAGGCGAAGCCAGCCCACCCTCTTGCTTCAAACTGAACTTTATAAACATAAGAGAGGACTCCTATGGCATCAACTTACCCTGAAGATGTCGTCTTCGGAGGCAGCAGACACAGCCTCCTTCATGGCCTTGTCCAGCTCCTCCTCAGCCGTTAGATCTCCAGAGATGGCCCGTCGGATCTCAGGCCCAATGTCATGCAGCGTGCGCAAGCCAGCCTGAAACCCAGAGGGACACCCGGCCACCTGACCCGCCTGCTTCTCCACAAGGCAGGTGAACCTGCAAGGGTTTATATGTGTGCTAACCAGGGATGTGCTCTGGGACCTCTCTTGTATGCCCCAGAGTGGAAGAATCCATTTTCTCCACCCAGGAAGGATTAAGGCACATTAGGAGGCACTGTCCAGGAACTTAAGCAGAGCTTTGGAGTTCTGGGGAGCTGCGAAGCACACAGGACAGCAGAGGGCAGGGTGTGTGGGAAGCATACATTGTCCCTTCACACACCCGCCTTTAGAAAGGCTTGGAACTCTAAGAAAGTTTCCTTCTGAAGGGACCTGGCCTCCAGCCCACTGGTGACAGACTTAAACCATAAGTGGAGGTTGGAAGAAGGTGACCAGGCCCTTCCTTAGGGTGTGGGCCCACCCTCCTCACCCCTCACCTGCAGGGACAGGGCGTTCCTCTGGGAAGGTTTGCCCACAAGCCCCTGCTCTTTGCGCTTCTTGAATTTCCGGAAGTACTCTTGGATCAGGAAAGTAGCATAAAACTTGCCAACGGTGACCTCATCATCTGAGATATGAGAAGAAAGGACAGAGAGGGGGTAAATGAGAGCATTCAGTTGGGTTTCATTAACTTTTTTTCAGCATCCAAACTTTCCTAAGTTTTTTACATGTAAATTTTTAAAAAGAGGTAGTCCATTCTCATGGTTCAAAAAGGCAAAAATATACTAAAAGGCATTCAGTGAAAAGTCTTTTTACCACCCCTCCCTCATCTGCCTAGATAACCTTTCTCAAATTAGTTTGAGTATTTTTCCGGAGAGTCTTTCTGCAAATGTTTTCTGAAAATAAACAAATATATTCTTATCCCATCTTTTTCTGTTACAGTAGAAGTAGCCTATTGTCAAAATTATTTCCCACCTTTTTAAAAAAAGTTAAAAAATGTATAAAAAACTCTTAAAAATGTAAAAAAAAAAAAAAGGCTTAGCTTACATTGTTAACTCATTTTTAGTGGATTCTAAAGAGTTTTCAAATGTTTGCTTTTGAGAGAGAGATTGCAAGCTGGGGAGGGGCACCGGGAGGGGGACCAAGATCTGAAGTGGGCTCTGCACTGACAGCAAAGAGCTCCATGCGGGGCTTGAATTCATGAACCATGAGATCATGACTTGAGCCAAAGACAGATGCTCAACTGAGTCACCCAGATGCCCATATTTGATTCTAAAACTTGAGATGCCCATCATAAATTGACCAATCCCCCAAGTGCAAACAGTTCTGCTTAAAGACAGGGTTTGGTGAAAGGAGCACCTTCTCCTCTAAGTCTGGGTTTTTCTTATAATCACATTGGGTTTCCTTACCATGTGGGTTGGCTGGGTCCCTGCTATGCTGGACCTCCAAGTTACATATGACATAATCAGCCTCTGTCTTGGGGATGAACAAGGTGATGGAGAAGCCAATGACTCTCCAAGGAGAAGACTGAATGCCTTATGAGTAGCCCTTTGGCTCCATCTTCTCCGGGAAATGGGCCCAGGAGATAGCTGGTAGGTTAGACATAGGGGCTTGTGATGGTTCTCTTACTCCTAGTCGTCCCTTAAGAATAGCCAAGTCCACAGCAGTGATGGCCTTCCACATGACAAAGACCTCATTCCAACGTGAGAGGGAAAGTCCTGAGTTCTCTGTCTAGGGTAGTTGGGGAGGAAGAGCGGAAGGGCAGAAAGAGCTTGGAGTTCTGGCATCCCTCAGACCTGGGTTTGGATTCTGAATCTGTTAGGTACTCACCATGTAGCCTTGGGCCAGCTACATAGCTTTGAAGAACTTCAGTTTCTTCAGCAAACTTCATAGTAATGTTATAAGGATTCAATAATGCATGCAAAACATGAGGTGGTACTTGGCCTGTGTAGATGACTTTCCATTTAGGTCCTGTCCTGCTTCCCTTTGGGAAATGGTTCTCAACAGGGGTGGTGGTGTCACATTTTAAGGAGTGTTTGGGACTTCTGTTTAGCTGTCACAGTGTGCTGCAGCATTAGGTGTTTCCAGATGTGTCCCTTAAAATACAGGCATGTTTTGCACAATAAATAATAGTTTTGCACTCTGCTAGATGTCTATGTGGGGACATAACCTGCCTGTAATTTTTCAAGCTAAGAACCTAACTGCATTTCAGATATGAACAAAAAATATTTTTTTTGCCTGTTTTTAATATATCTAGAATTTTCCAGGAATTTAATTGCTGTATAAATTGATGGAAGACCATACTTTGCTTTGTTTACACTTGGTTAAGAGGAGTTTACATTTTGGAAAATTATATCCCTGGTGGCAACACTGCCTGTGGTATCTGAGTCACCTGCGGTATCTAACCTACTTATATCGGTCTGCATTTGTTCTATGTATGTGCACGCATGTAGGTGTGTGTATGTATACATATACGTGCATATTGTATTATTTAATATACTTAGTTATCCCTTCAAAATTACAAATACAAAATGTCAGTGATATTCAATATTGTTTTAGTTTCTTTAAACACAAACTTATTCATCATATGTGGATGTATGCAAGTATGTATGCAGTTAACTATAACTTCTGGCATAGTGTCATAAGCCATAGTGCTTGAATGTGTATATATTGAAGAACATTTGACTTTAATGTATTTTATATTAAAGTGTTATATTAATATTTTGGAAATTATATATGAAGGTAGATTATGATATTCATCCAGGGTAGTAGTAGAAGCATTATAAACTTTTTGTTATGAAAAGGGGCTTTGAGTTTGACTGGGTAGAGGAACACTGCCCTAAGAAAAACAAAAAGAGTTTCAACCAAGAGAGGATCTTAGAGGATTCTTTTTCCAGGGTCCCATTATTTCCAGAGCAAACAGTCTAGTAGCTTATGGGGAAACTTCTACTTTGCAGAATTTCCTTGGAAGTTCTGTCAAACATCTAAGCACTGAGGGGCCTTACTTGGTCTTGAAATGTAGGATTGGACCAGACTTCCAACCTGATATTCTGTATTTGAGTTTGTGAAGGGCATGGCACCATCGTCCTTTCTAACCAATAGGGCTTTGAGCTCCACACACAGGGACTGGGAAAAGCAGGCCTCCCACAAGCCTAGTAGATTCAGAAATCAGGCAAGAGCCAAGGGTATGGAGATCCAGGGAGTACTCACCACCTGCAGGAGGCACCACTTGGTCTAGCAGCTTCATGCTGGTCCGCTTCCAGATCTTCTTGATTATGGCCCTCAGCTCTTCATTGGCTTGTTCTAGGTTCCCTAAGGGAGGGAGATGCAAGGCTGAAAAGGATCATCAGCCCCTTGGGGGCCCTCCCATGGGGTGGGTCCCTCTGTGTAGAGTAGGAAGCCACCATGATAACACCTTGCCCCACAGAGAGACCTGGTCCATGAGCTTCACTCTTTCTCTCTAGGCTACTCATTGTCACCTCCATCCTCTTTCTCTCTGTAGTGCTCTCTGTGCTCATGTTTCCCCCTCCCTCCATCCTCTGTCCAGTGCAATTCTTTTTTGCTTCCTCTCTGCCTGCTGCCTGGGCCAGCCAGTGGTATCCCTTTACTCCCACATGCTGCTTCCTTGTGGGTTGCAGTTGGAGCACACCAGACAGCCTGCCTCAGCTAAGCTCAACAGACACCAGCCAGAGAGCTTGAGGGACTGTTCTGGTGCATGGCATTTCTCATGGGCCTCTGTGGGTGATTGGGAGGTTTCCCCCACATAAAGCATCCATATGCAGGGGGACCTCGGTGTCAAATCCTTTGCTGAGTCTCCTGTGGGGAGGATGTGGCAAAACCTCAGTGTAGAAGTAGGAATCAGTAGACACTGGGTTCTGTTTTGGAGCTTCTCTGGATCTACTTTCTCCATTGGTAAAACAGCCTTAATTTGATGCCTATCTGGTGCAGCCTCTGGGCCACTGGTGGTATAGCAGCTGTAAGAGTATGTGGTGGGCAGTAGTCTAAGATGCTGCCTGAGCTACTTCCCACCACCATTGATATGTATACACCCTGCCCGGTCCCTGGGACCGTGACTATGATGGATTTCACTCTCATGATTAGATTATGTTATGTAGCTCCTATCACCTTAGGATAGGGAATCTAGGTGGGCCTGACCTAACACATGAACTCTTTGGAAGTAGGGAGTTCACGGGGCACCTGGATGGCTCAGTCGGTTAAGTGTCCGACTTTGACTCCGGCCATGATCTCACCATTCATGGGTTTGAGCCTTGCATTGGGCTCTGTGCTGACACCTCAGAGCCTGGACCCTGCTTCGGATTCTGTGTCTCCTTCTCTCTCTTCCCCTCCCTCGTTCATTCTCTCTCTCTCTCTCTCCCCTTCACAGATAAACATTAAAAAAAAAAAAAAGTAGAGAGTTCTCAGGTGCAAACTTCCAGTTATAAAATAAATAAGTCTTGGGATGCAATGTATAGCATGGTGACTATGTTTAATAATACTGTACTGCATGTTTGATAGTTGCTAAGATTTTAAAAGTTCTTATCATACACACAAGCCATATACACACAAATGATCACTATATATATGATGATGGATGATAACCAGATTTACTAAGGTGATCATTTCTTAATGTATACAAATATGGAATCATGCTGTACAACTGAAACTAATATGTTGTTCAATTATACTTCAATAAAAACAAAACAAATAAAAACGTAATGCATGAAGAAGGTCAAAAGATAAAGCTAGAGAGTTGTTCCCAGTTGGAAGCAGGAGTAGGAGGTGGCTGCTGTAGCCTGGGAGAAAGCATACACCGATGCTGTGAATTGAATGGAAAGAGGCAGCCTCTGGGGGCTCAGTGGTCCCTAGCTGAGAGCCAGTCCTACAATGGAAAGAAATGAATTCCTCCAAAAATGTAAATGAGCTGTAGCTTCTGGAAGAGGACGCATCCTGATCAATATCCTGACTTGGCTTTGTAAGACTCTTAGCAGAGAACTCAGCTACTTCATGGCTGGACCCCTGGCCCACAGAACTGTGGGCTAATAATAGGTGTTGTCCAAGCCAAGGAATTTGTGGTAATTGGTATAGGTATAGGAAACCAATACAGGGGTGTTTACTGCTACTACAAAGGGGAAGCAGTGTGGTTGAGAGGTGTGGTGTTAGACTATCTGAGGTGAAATCTGCCCTGAGGCCACACCAGAGAGTCTCCCGTGGAAGATGGCCCACAGGAGTAAGCAGAGGTGGCAATGGAGAGAGAGTGATGGATTCCTGAGTCCCCTGTCATATCTAAAAATGCTTTGGGTAGCATGGACATTTTAACAATATTAATTCTTCCAATCCATGAGCATAAATTTCTTTCCATTTATTCATATCTTCAATTTCTTTCATAAAAAATTCTTTCATTAATGTCTTAGTATTCAGAGCACAAGTCTTTCACTTCCTTGGTTAAATTTATTCATAGGTATTTCATTAGTTTTGATACAATTGTAAATGGAATTGTTTTCTTTCTTTTTTCTGAATAGTTATTAGCATATGGTAGCACTGATTTCTGTATGTTAGTTTTGCATCCTGTGACTTTACTGAATTCATTTATTACTTTTAATAGATTTGGTGGAGTCTTCAGCGGTTTCTCTATATAGTATCATGTCATCTGCAAATAGTGATAGTTTTACTTTTTCCTGTCCAATTTGGATGCTTATATTTATTTTTCTTGACTAATTGTTGTGGCTAGGACTTCCAATACTATGTTGACTAAAAGTGGTAAGAGTGGAAATACTTGTCTTGTTCTTGATCGTACAGGAAAAGCTTTCAGTTTTACACCATTGAATATGGTGTTAGCTGTGGGTTTGTCATATATGGCCTTCATTATGTTGAGATACATTCCTTCTATACCCATTTTATTGAGAGTTTTTATCAAAATGAATGTGGAATTTAGTTGAATTCTTTTTTCTGCATCTATTGGGATGATCATATGATTTTTTATCCTTTGTTTTGTTAATGTGGTATATCACATTGCTTAATTTGTGGATGTTGAACCATCCTTGCATCTCTGGAATAAATCTCACTTGATTTTGATGTATAATCCTTTTAATGTATTGTTGAATTTGGTTTGCTAACATTTTGTTGGGAGTTTTACAACTATGTGATCAGGAATACTGGTCTGTAATTTTCTTTCTTGTAGCATTTTTGTCTGGTTTTGGTATCAGAGTAATGCTAACTTTGTAAAATAATTTTGGAAGACTTCCTTCCTCTTCAATATTTTGGAATAATTTGAGAAGAATAGGTATTAACTCTTCTTAACATTTTTTTAAAATGTACTTATTTATTTTTGAGAGAGAGAGAGAACGAATAGGGTAGGGGGAGAGAGAGAGAGGAAGAGAGAGAATCCCAAGCAGCCTCCACACTGTCAGCACAGATCCCAATGTGGGGCTCAAACTCATGACCCATGAGACTATGACCTGAGCCAAAATTGACTTAGATGCTTAACCAACTGAGCTACCCAGCTTCCCTGCTACTAACTCTTTAAATGTTTAGTAGAATTCACCTGTGAAGCTGTCTTGTCCTGGACTTTTGTTTTTCATAATTTTAAGATTACTGTTTCAATTTTATGACTTATAATTGGTCTATTCATGTTTTCTAATTTTTGTGTGTGATTTAGTCTTGGAAGGTTATGTGTTTCTAGGAATTTGTCCATTTTTTTCTAGGTTTTCCAATTTGTTGGTGTGTAATTGTAGTAAATCTCTTACTCTTTGTACTCTGTGCTGTCAGTTGTAAACTTTCTTTCATTTTTGCTTTTATTTATTTGGGTCTTCTCTCTTTTTCTCTTGAGTTTGGCTAGTGATTTTATTTATCTTTTCAAAGAACCAACTCTTACTTTCATTGATTTTTTTCTTTTCTTTTTTTCAATTTCTATTTCGTGTATTTCCACTTTGGTTTTATTATTTCCTTCCCTTTACTAATGTTGGGCTTTGTTCTTCATTTTCTAATTCCTTTAGGTATAAAGTTAGATGGTTTATTTGGGAGTTTTCTTATTTCTTGAGGTAGGCCTGCATCCTTATGATCTTCTCTCTTAGAGCTACTTTTGTTGCACCCCATAGATTTCAGAAAGTTGTATCTCCATTTTCACTTGTCTCAAGGTATTTTTGTTTGTTTTTTTCCTCTTTGATTTCTTTGTTGACTCATTGGTTATTTAGTAATAAGTTGTTCACTCTCCACATTTTTGTGTTTTTTTCCTTCAGTTTTCTCCTGGTAATTAATTTCTAGTTTCATGCCATTGATATGATGTCAGTCTTCTTGAATTTACTGAGACTTGTTTTGTGGCTTAACTATCCTGGAAAATGTTCCATGTACACTTGAATAGAATGTGTATTCTGCTGTTTTGGATGAAATGTTCTATATATACTTATTAAGTCCATCTGGTTTAATGTGTCATTTAAGGCCAATATTTCCTTATTGATTCTCTGGATGATTTATCCATTGATTCAGTGGGATATTAAAGTTCCTTACTATTATTGTATTAATGTCAATTTCTCCTTTTATGCCTATTAATATTTGCTTTATATATTTAAATGCTTCTATGTTGGGTGCATAAATATTTACAAATGTTATAATCTCTTCTTGGATTGAACGCTTTATTATTATGTAATGCTCTTTGTCTTTTGTTGTAGTCTTTGTCTTAAAGTCTATTTTGTCTGATATGAGTACTGCCTCACTCGCTTTCTTTTTGTTTCTATTTCCATGGAACATCCTTTTGCATCTCTTCACTTTTAGTCTCCATGTTGCTTTAGATCTGAAATGAGTCAGCATATAAATGGGTCTTGTTTTTTAGACATTCAGATACCCTATGTCTTTTGATTAGAGCATTTAGTCCATTTACATTTAATGGTACATTTACATTTATTAATAGGTATGTACCTATTGTCATTTGGTCAATTGTTTTCTGGTTATTATTACAATTCTTCTCTGTTTCATTTTTCTTCTCTTGGTGTCTTCCACTGTAGTTTGATGGTTCTTTAGTTATGTTTGGGTTTCTTTCTCTTTATTTTTGTTTGTCTACTGTAGGTTTTGGTTTGTGGTTACCATGGGGTTCAGATATATTGACCTATATATATAGCAGTTTATTTTAAGCTAATACTCACTTCAGTTTGAACACAATTTTTTTTTTAGTTTGAACACATTCTAAAAGCACTACATTTTTACCCACCACCCCCAACATTTGATGTTTTTGGTGTCCTATTTGATATCTTTTTGTTTTGTGTATTCTTTAACTACTTATTGTAGTTATAGTTAAATTACTATTTTTGCTTTTTAATGTTCATACCATCTTTTTAAGTGGCTGATTTACTGATAAATATAAATATATAAATACATATATATTCCCTTTACCAGTGATTTTTTTTTCTTTCATATACAGAATTTTCTTATTTCCAGTTATGGCCTTTTCTTTTCTGCTTAAAGAAGACCATTTAACATTTCTGGCAAGGTTGATTTCATGGTGAAGAACTCCTTTAACTTTTGCTTGTCTAAGAAACTATCTCTCCTTCAATTCTGCATGATAACTTTGCCAGGTGGAGTGTTCTTGGTTGACAGTTTTTTCTTTCAGTATACTATCCCACTCACTTCTGGCCTGCAAAATTTATGCTGAAAAATATGATGATAGTCTTTTGTGGGTTCTTTTGGTCATAACGAGTTGTTTTTCTCTTATTGCTTTAAAAATTTCCCCCTTGGGGCACCTGGGTGGCTCAGTTGGTTAAGCATCTGACTTTGGCTCAGGTCATGATCTCACAGTCTGTGAGTTCAAGCCCTACATCAGGCTCTGTGCTGACAGTTCAGAGCCTGCTGCCTGCTTTGGATTCTGTGTCTCCCTCTCTCCCTGCACCTCCCCTGCTCACGCTCTGTCTCTCACAAAAATAAATAAAAACATTTAAAGAAATTAAAAAATTAAAAAAAATAAAAATTTCCCTCTTATCCTTAACTTTCGACAATTTAATTATAATATTCCTTGGTGTGGGTCTCTCTGGGTTCTCTTTTAGAACTTTTTGTGCTTCCTGGACCTTGATGTCTGTTTCCTTTCCCAGGTTAGGGAAGTTTTCAGTGATTATTTCTTCAAATAAGCTTTCTGCCCTCTGTCTCCTTCTGGAACCCCTATAATGTGAATGTTAGTGCACTTGATGTTATTCTAGAGGTTCTTAAAACTATTCTCATTTTAAAAAATTCTTTTTTCTTTTTGCTGTTCTGACTGGGTAATTTCCACTACTCTATCTTCCAGGTTGCTGATTCATTCTTCTGTATCATCTAATATGCTGTTGATTTCTAGTGTATTTTTCAGTTCAATTATTGTATTCTTCATCTCTGTGACTTCTGTTTTGTACTTTCTTATATTTTGTAACTCTTTATTGAAGTTCTCACTCTGTTCTTTCATTTTTATCCTGAGTTTGGTGGGTATTTTTATGGCCATTACTATGAACTCTATCTGGTAAATTACCTATCTTTTTTTCATCAAGGTTTCCCCCCCTGGGGTTTTATTTTGCTCTTTCATTTAGGACATATTCTTCTATCTCATTTTGTTGACTTTCCATTTTTGTTTCTACAAATTAGGTGGAATAGATGCCTCTCCCATTCTTTTTTTTTTTTTTATTTTTATTTTTTTTAAATGTTTTTTTTTTTATTTATTTCTAGGAGAGAGAGACAGCGTGAGCAGGGGAGGGCCAGAGAGAGATGGAGTCACAGACTGAAACAGGCTCCAGGCTCCGAGCTGGCAGTCAGCACAGAGCCCGACGCGGGGCTCGAACCCACAAACCGCGAGATCATGACCTAAGCGAAAGTCGGAAAGTCGGACGCTTAACCGACTAAGCCACCCAGGTGCCCCAATGCCTCTCCCATTCTTAAGGAGTGGCCTGGTGTAGGAACATCCTCTGTGTAGATTGCATGTGCCTGGACATTTTGGCTGGCTGGCTGGAGTTGAAGCTCCTCAGGGAGTCAAGGGGCATATGGTGCTTGGACCACCCTGATGGAATGGCTGGAGCTGGAACAGACACTGGCTAGGGGTATCCTGAGGTGCACTGAGACCAGGCCACCTTGGTTGGGTGGTTGAAGTTGATGGACATGGGTGGGGGGGCTATCTGGGGGAAGCTGGTGTGGGCTAAGGGCCTGTGGTTAATTGGAGCAACCCTAGTGGGCCAACTAGAGCACCTAGACCCTGTTCCCATCTGCAATATTAAGGTGAAAGGGAAATGTAAACAGTGGTGTTTGTTGGTACCTCCAACCTGGAGAGAGTTCCAGTACTTCCCCCACATTTAGTGGATATAAATGGATTTCCTTCACTTACAGTCTTGTTGCCCCATAAGCCATTGTTTTTCTCCTATGTCCCAGGGTAGGTGAGTCTGGGTGCAGGCCCCTCAGTGCTATCCCTCCTCACTGCAGGTCATCACATTGGTCAGGGGTGTTCCTGTGGCTACTATGTCTTCATCTTTCCTGCCATTCTCTATGTGGTGCCTCTAACCTTTGCTGTACAGAAGCTATTTTTCAGGATGAATTGCTCCATATGTGGGTGTAGATTTGGCGTGTCCTTGGGAGGAGGCGAATTCAGGGTCTTCCTACGCCAGAGTCTTAGACTGCCTCCTTCAGCCTTTGTTTGTCTTTAGTTTGGCAGCATAACTTGAACTATTTTTAATTTTTTAAAGATTAGCTCATTACTTTGACATGTGTCTTGCTGGCCTGGTTCTTGTTTTCCTTCATTTTAGATGTTTCTATTATTTTGTGGAAGGATTTAACTGAGAAATGGCACTTCTCTGGATTCTTCACTGAACTGAATTCCCACACATCATTATCATTCTTACTTTACAAAGAAAACTGAAGTAGAAGAGAGAATAAATGCCTTATCACATTAAAATTTTTTTTAACGTTTTATTTATTTTTGAGAGAGAGAGATAGAGACAGTGTGAGCAGGGGAGGGTCAGAGAGAGAGGGAGACACAGAATCTGAAGCAGGCTCCAGGCTCTGAGCTAGCTGTCAGCACAGAGCCTGATGTGGGGCTCAAACCCATGAACCATGAGATCATGACCTGAGCTGAAGTCGGATGCCCGACTGAGCCACCCAGGTGCCCCATTATCACATTTTAAACAAGCTTCAACAGCTGAATCTGATGTAGGTGGTCATTTGACCACACTCTAGGAAACACTGCAATTAAACGAGAGGCTCTTGGAGAGCAATCACATCTTCTTAGGTACATTCTATATAGCCTTTTCCACAGAGTGGTTCGGAAATACTTATCAATTATAAGGACAGCAGATTATTTCAGCCAAGGCTGATGCTAGCCCATAGGACACATTTGTGCAAACCAGAAGGTATCCCTTCAGGTGGACACAGCCCTGAGGGAGCATGGCCTGACAAACAGAGCACAGGTGAGATCTTAACCCATACCTGTCAGCTAGCTGAGCACCTTGATCCAGGCACAGCCTGTACAATTGTATGTGATGACCTTGACCATAGTCACCATTTGCCAATATGACTCCTTCCTGATACTTCTAATTTAAAAAGAAAGTTAAGCATTTGAGAGACACACATAGTCAGTAAAATTCCATTTAGATGGGACTTAGTCTGCTTCAGGTAATGCTCATCACCTTCTGCTTTTTGAACTATAAGCTATCGTATCAAGATATCACCCAGAAGCATTTCTAGAAATTGATGGATATCTAGAGTTCAAAATAAATAGGCCAAAAGCCAAAAGGCCATTCAGGGAGCAAAGGAAACATGAGCAGGCCAGGCCTTTTCAGCATATGAAGGTTATCATTGAACCACTGCTCTGATACACAGGATGGGAAGATCCTGAGAGCACTTTACAGGCTGTTGACTTCCTCTTTGGTTAATCTGCTAGACCTTCTGAATGGCTCTCCCAGTGGCCCCTAGATGATTCTTACCTTCTGTTTTGATCCGCAGGGCTGTCCGGACCAGGGCAAACAAGGTGGCATTGAACATGACAGTCCCATCACTGTTAAGAGGCATGTTCATGGAGACCAGGCGCTGGAGGGGAAAGGGAGGCAAAGCTGGTAAACAGTTCTCAAAAGCCCTACAGAACCACCATGGCAGGAGAATGCCGGGAGGGGGCTTTGAAACTTGTGTGTGTGTGTTGGGAGGAGGTGGGGGTTAAGGAATGGGTCACTAAAATGGATTCAAAATCTGTTCTGGGGAGAATCTTAGCTCTGCCATAAGTACTCTCACCCTACCACACAGAGTGAAGGAGAAATGGAAATTGTCCTTATTAGACCCTTGCTTCCACAAAAGGATGGTAAGCCTACCCAACCCCCTCCTCTGCTCAAATGTCTGCTCAGGCATATGGGTGTGCTCTCTACCTGTGAGGTACCTGTTCTTCACACCTGTGAAGAACAGCTACATGCCAAGCATTTGCCAGGAGCCCACCTACTAGCAGTATTCATCCAAAGCCTTGACAAGAGAGACAGTAATGGCAGGTTTGCATGCAGAAGGTGTCATGTATCCCCTTTTCTGTATATTGAAAAATATACTTCTGCATCAAGCTGGATTAAAAGCTTATTAACTGGATAGGATTGGATTGCCCTTTCCCCTCCATTTTCACCACCCAAAATAGCTGCTGTTGCATTGTGCCCTGGTGTGCAGCCCTCAGCACACACCAGAGTAATTATGAGAAAGAGCACCATTCTGGCATCTGCCTTCAAGATGTGGTCAAAGATGTTATTTGTTAGATCACATAGTATCCCACTAACTATAGTGCCAAAAAGGGTTATAATTTTCTTGAGTGACTGGATCCTCTTGACTCTCAAGGACAGTGTCAGTTGTGGACTGGCCACTGGGAAGCTCAACACTGGGCAGTCTGGAGAGCACAAAGACGCACTGTCACCTCATGCAGGCCACATTTGTTGTCCCTGTTCTTTTGTCCATTGTGCTTTGACTTTATATTTAATTTGTGCTCTTTTTTTCTCTTATCTTCTATACCCTTGGAAATCTTCTAACATCTTTTTTGGAACAAAGTGGAGATACAAATGAGGAAAAAAGTGAGTAAAACAGAGCACAAATTCAGTTCTTCATTTTCCATGAATGGTTTATCCACAGAGTTAAATTTCAATTTGTCTTCTTCTATACAGTTCTCTCATCTTACTTCCCTCAACCCCTTTCAATTCATTGTTATTACAATAAGGAATACAGAATGGTGGAAATGGGAACTGAAAGAAGAGGGGAGAGCGTGGAAATAATACCCTTCGGCGACTGTGGGGCTACCTTGTTGGGATTACAATGAAGTAAGGGAGATGCCTGGATGCACAACTGAAGGAGGCTCTCACTCTCAGGGTCATGCAAGGGCCAACATGAGCAAGAGTTGGGTCTAAAGAGCCTAGGATGCTTGTCTTAACTTTTATGGGGTCATGGACTCACTTTGAAATATGGTGAACATGATGGATCCTCTCCGTGGTACAATTTGTGAGTGTTTCAGTGATTTTGCACACAATTTTGGGGATTTACAGGTCCCTGAGGCTGATACATGGACACTCTAATAGCCCTCTGATCCCAGGAAGAGAACCCCTAATCTATCTGTCCTTGGCTGGAAGTCTTCCAGGACGCCTAGGTGGTGCAGCATGATGGGACTGGGTATGTGGCTGGTTGTGTCATGAGGCATTCACTTCATTTTTCCTTTAGGTGTCTGAGGACCGATTGTTGGTAGGAAACTCAAAATATAATCTGGATTATGCTCATTTCTTTAGGCATATAACATATTGTCTTCAGTCCCTTAAAGGATCAAGGCCTGACCAAGGTTACAAGACAAATAGGCCTCTTCCCTCCCATATTTTTTCTTTTTCTCTTTTGAACTCATGTCTTCTCTTACTTTGCAAGCCACACGGTGAGGGCACAGCTTCCCAAAACCTAGTGGGGGCTGAATCCGCCGGAGCAGGGTCACCACATCTAGGTGTTTGATACGACCCCTATAAGAGGAAGGAGAGGAGTCAAAGATCAGTCAGAGGGCCATGGTTTCAGCTAGCAGCCCAGGACTCAGGTACTGGGCTCTCCAAGTTGTCCTGTTGGCCAAACCTGGTGCAGAGTTGTAGAATTGTATGGTAAAACTCCAAAACCAATATATACATGTTTAGATTTTAATGAGCGATTTTCCACTACTGCTGTGCTTAAGGTGGGAGAGATTTTCAGTATTACAATGAGATTCTCACAGACACTTGGTGCTGCAATCTAACCATCTGACCAAATGCATTTATTGAGTGTCATCCGAGAATGTGATGGACCTATGAGGGTATCTTTGAACCTGAGGTGGGAATGGAGTGAGATCTACTTGACTCTAAATATTTTAACTTGAATACTTACCAGTTATTTCTGACACTAGGATCTCCCTTCCTTCTGTTCAACCGAAAATAGCAGACATATTCCTGACTTAGCCAAAGGTGCCTGGCCTCATCGCTGGCTCTTGACCTTTGACCCTGGGGCCTGGTGCAATTCAGTGTTTCCAGTCCATCTACTCAATGCTAAATTGTCCTGAACCTTTACTATATGTATGGTCACATAATGTTCTCTGGGTTTTGGCAATCAGTCTTTCCCTCTGGGAACTTACTTGGCTTCAGGATCATACTCTGCCCAGATTCTTTTAAATTCATCCAGATGATGGGGACCAAGGATTGACCAGTCCCTTGTCAGGTAGTCAAAGTTATCCATGATGACAGCTACAAAGAGGTTGATGATCTGCCAAGACAGAGATATGATGAGTTTCTACAAGAGGGCCTCCTGCACACTTGAATCTTCTTTGCAAGCTGGTGTCATGCATGGCAGAAGCCCACGTTTCTAAAGACCAGCTATATTCATCATTTAAAACACCAGCCCCTGGAACTTGGGTCTCTTGGGTATGAACTTGCTTGTGTCAGAGTGGTGTGGGATGAACCCCACATGTGGGCTGGACAGCTTCCCTCATACCAAATTGCTGGGTAGTGTTGCCAAGGACAGAGGGCAGCTTTCTACACTATTCTTCCTGCACTCTGCATCAAAGTGTTAAAAATGCGTAGGTTGCCTCTAGGCTCCCGCCCCCGCCCCCTCCCCCCATCCCTTCTGTCCTCTGGGACAATGACACCATGAGAAGAGTTGAGAATTGACCAGAAAGATGCTAGTTGGGCTCACTCTGGCACAGGGCTTTCTGCCCTTGTCTGGTGTGGTTGGACATTCCTCCTCAGTCTCTGCAAGCCAGTTCCTCTGATGGGGTTGCCCTGACTGCAAGCTGCAGAGGTAGATAGAGGGCCTGGGCTGCCTTGAGCTGCACACTCACTCCCGTGGCTGTTCAACCCCACCCGGCTTACCAGGAAGGCACAGAGCATGTAGAAACTGATGAAGTAAAAGACGGCGAAGCTGCTGCCACAGGGCGTTTCCCCTTCCGTGCTGTTGCTGGGCTCAGACTCAGGGGCACACTTCTTCCCTGGCATGCAGGCCAGCATGATGTCCTGCCATGCCTCCCCTGTGGCACACCTAGGGGAGAGCAGTGAGAGAGTCCACCACCCATGGCGCCCATCTCATATCTCTGGATCTTTCCCTCACCCCTTGCCCCTTCCTTCTTGCCCAGAGGGAACTACTGAATTGAATTTGGTGTTTATCATTCCCTGAATGGTCTGATACACTCACTAATAAATATGAAAATGTATATCGTTTTAAATGTTTTAAAACTGTATATAAATGGTAACAAACTACCTTTTCTGAAAAGTCCTTTTTTTTCTTTGCAATTCATGTTAAGTTTTTGAGATTTATCCATTTGGCTCTAGTTCATTCATCATAACTGCCATATAGCAGTATACTCTATATACCATTTTTAAAAACCCACTGTCCTACTAAAGGCTTTTCTCTTTTCTTTTCTTTTCTTTTCTCTTTTCTTTCTTCTTTCTTTCTTTCTTTCTCTTTCTTTCTTTCTTTCTTTCTTTCTTTCTTTCTTTCTTTCTTTCTTTCTTTCTTTCCTTCCTTCCTTCCTTCCTTCCTTCCTTCCTTCCTTCCTTCCTTCCTTCCCTTTCCTTTCCTTTCCTTTCCTTTCCTTTCCTTTCCTTTCCTTTCCTTTCCTTTCCTTTCCTTTCCTTTCCTTTCCTTTCCTTTCCTTTCCTCTTTTCTCTTCTTTTCTTTTCTTCTTTTCTTTATTGCTGTTAAAAGACCCTGCAATCAACATGCAGGTCCATGCCTTGGATACCTGCTTAGAAAGTGAAAGTTAGGGTTGTCTTCACTTTCTCTAGGTATTGCTGGTTCTCCAAGGGTTTGTCCGATTTATGTTCCAGTTGTCAGTGTGGGACAAATGCCATTGTTCTGCAGACTCGCCAACGTTTTTTCAGTTTTGCTGAGGTATAATTGACAAATAAAATTGTAAGATATTTATTTTCTTTTTTTGAATGTTTATTTTGTGTGTGTGTGTGTGTGTGTGTGTGAGAGAGAGAGAGAGACAGAGACAGACAGAGAGAGACAGAGAGAGAGGGAGAGAGAGAGAGGGCGAGCGAGCACAGGAATGCATTGGGGAGGGGCAAAGAGAGAGGGAAAGAGAGAATCCCAAGCAGGCTCTGTGCTGATGGCATTGAAGCCTTGTGGGGCTTCATCTCAAGAACTGTGAAATCACGATCTGAGCTGAAACCAGGAGTTGGACACTTAACCGATAGAGCCACCCAGGTGCTCCTAAAGTAAGTTGTAAGATATTTTAAGTGTACATCGTGATGATTTGGTATACCTATACATTGTGCAGGATTCATATGGTAATTTAATTTTTAATTGTTTGAGTCATCATCATACTGTTTTCCACAACTGTACACCTTTTTCTTTCTCACCAGCAGGGCATAAGGGTTCCAATTTCTTTCTTTTCTTTTTTCTTTCTTTTTTTTTTTTTTTTTACAAATAGTTTATTGTCAAGTTGGTTTCCATAAAACACCCAGTGCTCATCCCCACAAGTGCCCTTCTCCATGCCCATCCCCGCCCTGCCCCCACCCCACATCAGTCCTCAGTTTGTTCTCAGCATGCAAGAGTCTCTCATGGTTTGCCTCTCTCCCTCTCCTCCGCTATTTCCCCGCTTCTTCTCCCCCACGATCCTCCATTAAGTTCCTCCTAATCCTCCTATACGTGCAAACATATGATATTTGTCCTTCTCTGCCTGACTTTTTTCGCTCAGCATAACACCCTCAAGGTCTATCCATGTTGCTACACATGGCCAGATTTCATTCTTTCTCATTGCCATGTAGTATTCCATGGTATAGATAAACCACATCTTCTTGATCCATTCGTCCGTTGATGGACACTTAGGCTCTTTCCATGTTTTGGCTATTGTTGAGAGTGCTGCTATGAACATTGGGGTACATGTGCCCCTAGGCATCAGCACTTCTGTATCCCTTGGGTAAATTCCTAGCAGTGCTATTGCTGGGTCAGAGGGGAGTTCTATTGTTAATTTTTTGAGGAACCTCCACACTGTTTTCCAGAGTAGGGTTCCAATTTCTTTACATCCTTGCCAACACTTGTTGTTTTCACTTTTTTTTTTTTTGATAGTAACTATCCTGTAGAGTATGAGGTAGTATCTCACTGTAGTTTTGATTTACATTTCCCTTATGTTTAGTGGTGTCGAACATCTTTTCATGTGCTCACTGGCCATTCATATATCTTCTTTGGAGAAAGAAGATATTTCTGTTCAAGATTTTTGCCCATTTTAAAACTGTTGTTGTTGTTGAGTTTGGCAATCAATTTGTTTGGCATTTAATTGTGTTTCTTCTGCAATTCTTACTCTTTATTTTTTTATTGCATTGGATAAAACTTGCAGTATAATGTTGACTATAAAAAGTGATAGAATGTGCTCTTTTCTCTTATATTTACTAATTACCTGGTATAGATTGAATGTGTCCCCCACCAAGTTCATATGTTGAAGACTTAAACCTTAATAAATTTGCAGGTGAGGTCTCAGGAGGTAATAAGGGTTGGATCAGGTCATAAGGCTGGGCCCCCATGATAAAATTAATGTCTTTTTAAGAACAGAAAGAGAGACTTGAATTTTCTCTTTTTTTTTTTTTGTCGTATGAGGACACAGCGGTAAGGTGGCTGTCTGTAGGCCCGGAAGAGGGGTCACACCAGGAACTGAATTAACTGGGACCTTGATCTCAAACTTCTAGCCTTCAGATGTGTGAGAAAGAAATGCCTGTTGTTTAAGCCACTCATTTTATATTTTGTTAAAGTAGGCTGACCAAACTAATAATTTCCAGTACAGGAAAGTGATTGTTTTTCTTTGTTAATCTTCTACTTTACTCATTCTATTAATTGTTTTAAGGGTTTTGAGTTGATTGCTTGTTTTTTTTCTACTTGGATTAGGCTGTTTGCTAACAATGACAGTTATGTTTATACATTTTCATATTTATACTTTCTACTTTTTTCCCTTTCTTAATACATAAGGTAATAGTCTTATTTAGCCTTACAGAATGACTAAATGGAATGACTGAAGAGGTTTTCTACCCTTTGCTGTTCCTGAAAAGTTTGCGTAACATAGGAACAATCTATTCTTTGATGTTTTGGTAGACATCACACATAAAAATACTGTATCTTGGGATTTTTTGAGGACTAAAACTTTGATGACCTTTTCAATTTCTATTGTGATTAATTAAAATTTTTTTCTCTTAAGATAATTTTGTGATTTATATTTTCCTATATAAAATCATCTACTAGATTTTCAAATGTTTGGCATAAATCTGTTTATAATTTTTTATCATTCTGAAAATCTCTTCCATATCTATAATTGTGTTTCTTTTCTTATTCTTGATGTTGTGTCTTTTTTTTTTTAAATTGGATTCGATGAAGATTTGTCTATTCACTGGTATTTTCAAAGACTTAGTTTTAAGGTTTATTGATAAATATTTTTTATATTTTATTCATTTCTGTTTTTATTTTAATAAGTGAGTTCTTTCATACTTAGGGGTTATTTTGCTATTCTTTTCCCATCCATTAGTTTGGTTTATAAATTTTGTAAAATAAAGTTTTGGCTTTGAACTTTTCTTTGGTATTGATTGATACATCTTATAAATTTAAGATGTACTGCTCTCAATCCTTCCTTCCTAAGAAGTATGTAAGCTTCAGCTTTGAGTTATTAGAACAGTGAATCAAAACATTTAAGTGAGTAGATTTTGGAGGGACTACTGATTTTGTGGTTAATTTCTAATTTTTGCTGTATCGAAGTCAAGGAAGTTTTAGAATTTATTGGCGTCTTCTTTGTGATTTAAATCTTGGCTAATTTTGGTGAATGTTTCTGGGTGCTTAAAAAGAATTTTTTTTTGCAATTTACTGAGTACAAATTTGTTAGATTAAATATGTCAGTTGTGTGTTTTAAAAATATTTATTTATTTAATGTTTATTTTTGAGAGAGAGAGAGAGACAGAGAGTGTGTGCATAAGTGGGGGAGGGGCAGAGAGCTGGGGAGAGGATCCTAAGCAGGCTGTGCTGATAGCAGTGAGCGTGATGTGGGCCTCGAACTCACAGACTGTGAGATCATGGCTGAAGTCAGACACTCAGCCGACTGAATCACCCAGGCGCCCCTATCAATTGTTGTTTTTAGATGTTCTTTACTCTTTCTTTTATTTTGTGCTATTTGATCTGTCAATTTTTACATGTCTCCCATTGTGTGTGTTTGTCTGGGTGTGTGTGTGTGCATGTGTGTGTTCATTTTTTCCTTATCATTCTATTAGTCTCATTTATATGTTTCCAAATTATATTGCTGTGCTCATGTGGTTTTATGATTGTTATATAATCTCATGGATTATACCTTTTATCTATATCAAATGTCCCTCTTTGTCTTGTTTAATGCCTTTCATCTGGAAGTCAAGGACTTCCTTTTATTTCTTTTGATATTGTTATTACTACATCTATTTTTTTTTTTGAAGCATTGTCTGGTATTATTTTTCCATTCCTTTATTTTTATTTTCTTTACATTACTTTATTTTACTCTATTATAAACAGGCTACAGTTAGATTTCTTAAAGCCAACATTAGAGTATCTCTTAATAGAGAAATTTAATTTTTAGTGATTATTAATCTGTTTTTATTCCTGCCATCTTGTTTTATTTTCTAATTTTCTTTACCCTCTTCCCTCTCTCCTTCCTTCCATCCCTCCTTCCTTCCTTCTTTCCTTCCTTAATTTGCTTTTCCTTCCTTTTGTAGAATTGCTAAGGTTTTACTTGCTGATTTCTTCCCCGTCTAGTGATTTGGAATGTACACATTTCCACTTCTGTTTTTCTAATGGTTGACCTTCAAATATTTAACATATCTATTTACACACTTTCCCCTGGCTGTGCAAAGGGTTGAACAGCATCTTTTCCTCTCCACAAGAGAAGAATGTCAGCACACTTTCATGTTTCTTATTATTCCACCACTTCATTCTTCCTACCTTGTTGAGATAATTTTGGTTCTTACTTGCAAATTGCTATTGAGGTGGACATTTTCCCTTAACAGTTATTATTTTTTATTTAAAAATTTATTACAAAAAATTTCAACCATATACAAAGGTAGAAAGTATAAAGACACCCCAGGTACCCATCACCCAATCTTAACAACGATCAATATTCTGCTGTTTGTGTTTCATCTATCTCCTCCACACTCCCCTTCTCCCCTTTTGGCTGGAGTATTTATTTTATTTTATTTTACTTTATTCGTTTGGATTCTGGATTCTCACCTTAAAAAACTGAAGTAGTTGACACAGTGTTACATTAGTTTAGGTGCACAATGCAGTGATTCAATAAATCTATACATTATGCTCTGCTCACCACAAGTGTAGCCACCGTTTGTCACCTCATATAACACTATTACAGTAGGACTGACTATATTCCCTATGCTGCGCCTTTTATCTCTGATGGAATAGTTTAAAGCACATCTCAAACCTCATGTAATATCATTATATCAACCCTAAATACTTCAATATGCATCTCAAAATTAAAATGAAATTTTATGTAACCACAATATGTTGGTTAACAATAATTGGTAAAAATAATTCTTTAATAACTAATACTTCCCTTAAAAGCTATTTAGATTTAATATAAGGTTTATAACTTCTTTGTTCATAACTCATAACTATAAACTTCATGGCTTCTTTACTAATATTACTCTATTCTATTTCTTAGATTAATTTTTCATTCTGTGGAAATGCACCCTTGCATAGTTGTTTCAGAGAAGGTTTGTGTGAGGGAGTAAACTTTCTGGGTTTTTATGCTTTTGGAATCTATTTTGCTTTGTTACTTGAATGCCAATTAGGGCTGCATTACAGGAGTCTAGGTCCAAAAGTACATTTTCTTCATAATATTGAATATATTATTCCTTTGTTTTCTAGTACGTACTTTTGCTAATAGGCAATCTAATGAAAATTGGTAGTTTTGAAAGTATTTTTTTTCTTAGGAAGCTTATAGGATATTTTCTTTATTCTTGGTATTCTAAAACTTCACCAAAATGTGTCTGAAATGGGGACTTTTTGATAAACCTAGTTTGCATTTAGTAGGCCATTTCAATCTGAAGGCTCAGATCTTTATTGAAATTTTCTTTGATCATTCCTTCATTTCCTTCTCTCCATTCCTTCTGTTCTTTTTAGTTGAATTTTTATTAGAAAGATGGGATTTTCAGCCCTATCCTTCATGTGTTAATTTTTATTTTATATTTTCAATCTTTTTGCCCTTTTTGCTGTGTACTAAGAGAATCCTAGTTTGACCTTTCAGCTCAGTACCTGGTTCTTTAGCTCTGCTTATTTTCTGAATATTTCAACAACTCTATGTTTTTGTGAGTTCTTTCTTTAATTTGTTCTTATTAATAATGACTTCTCTGGGGCACCTGGGTGGATCAGTCAGTTAAGCATCTGACTCTTGGTTTTGGCTCAGGTTATGATCTCACAGTTCATGGGACTGAGCCCAGAGCTGTCAACGCAGAGCCTGCTTGGTATTCTCTTTCTCTATCTATCCTTGCACTTCCCCTGCTCTCTCTCTCTCTCAAAATAAATAAATAAACTAAAAAAATGATTTCTTTTCCTCCTCCTTTTTAATTTAACAGATGTAATATGCTCTGCAATCTCCCTAAAGATATGAATTGTATTTATTTTCAAATCTTTTGGCTTTATGTATATTTTTCCTCCTCATGTGTTCATTCATCTGCTAATTGAGCATGGGGTCTTTCCTTCTTTTTTTTTTTGGGATGGGAATTATATACAGTTTATTGTTCAGGAAGCAACAGGGGTCTTTCTTTATTGATACTAGTTTCCCCCCTATATCTTGGGACTATTATTGATCATTCTTTGTGCTTGAGAACCCCGTTCACATCTCCGTGGATCAAGTTCTTATTAGAGAGACTCTTTGGAGATCATGGAAGAAAGAGAAGATGTGCGGCCAGGTGAGGTGGGCAGGTGGCATCTCTCTGAGGGTGGGGGTCCTTGGGGGGACCTGCTCTACATCTCAGACCCCAATGCCCAGGGGTGTGATGTTCAGTGCTGTTACTTTAAGCTTGTGAGCATTAGCAAATGCTCTCCAGATACAGGTCCTTGAGGAGCTGGCCTGGTCATCGTCTCTCCTGTGCCTTGGGCCTGTTAATCCTGGAACTGCTCTCACTTCTTTCACAGAGCACACATTGTTGGGGATGTATTTTCTTCAGATCTTGTTCCTTTGTCAGTTGAACCCCATCCGATTTCTTCCATTTAGAAATTCCTCAACATTCCTGGTTCAGTAATAGCACTGTTTCTTGGTCCCCCCGCCCCCACTTAGTATTGTTATGAGTTTATTCTTTTAAGAAGTATCTTCTGTCACTGAGGACTTTAGGAAAGGAGGGGAGATAGACCCATGTGCTCAGTCTTATCTCTGTTCAGCTTTGATATATATATATATTTTTTAATGTTTTATTTATTTCTAGGAGAGAGAAAGAGACAGCGTGAGCAGGGGAGGGTCAGAGAGAGAGGGAGTCACAGACTGCAACAGGCTCCAGGCTCCGAGCTGGCAGTCAGCACAGAGCCCAACGCGGGGCTCGAACCCACGAACCGCAAGATCATGACCTAAGCGAAAGTCGGACGCTTAACCGACTAAGCCACCCAGGCGCCCCTCAGCTTTGATATTTAAATATGGTACAGGCTTCAGTGTTTTGGTTTAATACATTTTGAACAATAATGATACTTGAGCTCGGGTATCATTATTGGTGATAGGACTTGATAGGACTTGATAGAACTTGGTGAAAGTGAGGCTGTCCAATAGATCACTGGATCTTCTGGAAAGGGACCCCAGGGAATGGTAGAGAGCTCACCGCCTCTCCCAGTGCCATAGTGTGTAGAATATATAAGCCGGAATGGACTTTAGAAATCATCTGGTCCAGGGGGTGGGGTAAATCGTTCTCATCTGCCAGCCCTGGTCTAGATGGGGGCCCCAGAGTTCCAGGCTGTGAGGAACAGGAAAGTGAGAAGGACCAAGGAGGTCATTAGGAGTCAGATGAGGAAGAATTAGGTTGCAGCATGGACTCACTCACTCAGAAGCAGGCTGAGAAACACTCTTCCCCAGCTAGCCCTGAGGAGGGTGCCTTCCAAGAGGGGAGAAGGCTCATGGCTAGCTAAAATGGGGAGGAGACTAAGTGCATAAGGACAGAATAATCCACTAGAGCAAATGGCATTGACATTGGTATAGCTGTACTTGTTTGCAAGCGAACTGAGACTCAGAGAAGTTAGGTGTCTTATACAAAGTGATTGTGTCACAAGCTTGGCTTGGAGCCCGTTTGGCTTCCAAACCATGGTGCTTTCAGTATTTGACTTGTGATCACCTAGTGCTTTTGGGTGTGCAAAAGTAGGTGTGCCAGTGACCAGTGGGCTGCTCAGCGGAAAGTATTACAAATAACAATGAAACAACAGCTTTCTCTCCCTGTGCAGTCCCCTGGAAGAGTTCCCTCTCATTCTGCATCCAGAGTATAGGACTGCATCATGTAGTTGTGTTTGTATGCATCTGTTCTCAGAGACTCACCTGAAGAGAAGCAGCACAGCTTGGGGGAAGGTCTGAAAGTTGTTGTTGCGGTTGATCTCTGTGGTGTCATTTAGGGCAATTTTCCCAAACACCTAAGCAGGGGGAGAGAAGAGTAAATCAGTGCATGGTGGACACTCATTTTTCAATGGTCTCTTTAGGGGTCACGGCTGATTGTCAATCAAGCCAGCTCAAAGCTGAACTAAGTCTCCTGACCCGACCTGGCAGGGCCTCATGGGGGCAGGCACCTGCTGCCCTATCCAGCTCCTGATCTTCATCCACCACAGCGGGCGGGTGTAAGAGGAAAGGTGCCCAAGGGTCTTCCTATGGACCAGTGGGAGCTGGACTGAGAGCAGGTGGAAGCCACAACCTGCACTCTGCTTCAGTGTAGGGACAGAGGGCTCACTGGCTGTCGTTGTCGTCTTCTTCTTCTTCTTCTCCTCCTTCTTCTTTTTCTTCTTCTGGATGCAGATTCTTGAGAATATATATATTTTCTCTTTCAAAAAACTTTATTGAGGAATAATTAATAAATACAATTGTATCTATTTACAGTGTACAGTGTGGTGGTAATTTGATGCGTTGTAGAATCGTTACCAGGACCAAGATAATTAACACATCCATCACCTCACACAGTTAATACAGGTAGGTGTGTGTGTGTGTGTGTGTGTGTGTGTGTGTGTGGTGAGAATGCTTAAGATCTCCTTGCAGCCACTTTCAAGTGCACAGCGCTGTAGTATTGATTACAGTCACCACTAGGCCCTCAGGACTTACACCTCCAGCCTCCTTTTCTTCGCCATTTCAGCCCAGATGCTCAAACACTCTTCCAAATTCAGTTCTTGGATTTCAGAGCAATCTGGAACTTGGGAAAGCTTAATTTATCCCTGAAATTAGGGGCCTCCTTATTTTTCTGGCCATTTAAAGCTATGACTATCTTAGAAGCTGCCACCATTGGTGAGGGGGCAAGGTAACTCTTCTGATCTCAAAAGATTTTGGCCTAGGAACATCGAGATCTTTCTGCAAGGAATAAGCAGGTGGAATCTTTCTTAGGGAGCTACCGAGGAAAAGCTCCCCACCAGTGTGAGTGCTGGACTGTAGAGCTGTCTGGAGCCCTGAAGAGACGTCAGCTGGAGACCACCACAGGGTGTGAGGGCACTGTGAGGGGGGCCCTTGAAACGGCTGCATGTTTGATGGGAAGAGCTTGCTCGCCTGACTCCCTCCTTCCTTCCTCCTTTTGTTCTCTCTCTCTTCCATTCCCTCTCTCCCTCCCTCTCGGTCATGAGCTTCTCCTCAACGATGCTGGGGTTGCGGGCTAGTTCTCAGGCTGGCAGACCTGGGCAAAGGGAAGGGTGCTGTTTGACGTGCCCTTCACGTTGTTTCCTGGAAGGGGCTGTCTCTCCAGAGACAGCCTGGTAGTAACCTGGGAGTTTCTTCCCTACCTGACTGCAGAGCCCAGTCCTGGGGCGAAGGGGAGAGAAGTGTATACCATACTTGGCCATTCATTCTGCTACCAACAGGCTGTCATATGAAGGGATATTGTAATTCCTGTGACCTTTTTGGCCTCAGAAGTGGAAACAGAGGGAGGGGCAGTCAGGAGCAGGAGGGAGGTAGGAGGGAGGCAGTGCCTGTAACATGGGGCTGGGAGCTGGGAAGAGAAATGGAGGCAGAAGAGCCGCAGGAGAGCTGTCCTACCTGCATCCCAATCACTGCGTAGATGAAGAATAGCATCACTATCAGAAGGGCCACATAAGGCAAAGCCTGGAAGGAAGCACAGGAGACAGGACGTGAGGCTGGCAGGGGATGGCGGGCTGGACCCCTTCCCAGGGGCACTGCAGCCTGACCTTGCAAGGGGGCGTTTCCCAGGTCCCCACAGAAGTTCAGCATATCGAGAAGGCCTAAACCATGGTCATCGGCCTCCCATTTTCCCTTGGTTTCAATCATCTGAGAAGAAGTGTGGTGTACTGAGAAAAGCAGGCTGCAGAGTAAGGGATATCACATGATACTGCTTTCATGAAAACTATCAAGAATGAGCAGATGGCCTCTGACTAGACTCTGTACCGTGAGGAAAGAGCTACGAAGGATATACACCAAGGTTTCCTGGGGAGGCATGGGGTGGAGGTAGGTTACACCCTTCCTTTATGTAGCTTGATGATGTTCTACTAGTTGTAATAAAAACAATTACTAAGGAAAAGCTTAAATAAAAGAAAGACCATGGACTCTCAAATCCTATTTCTACCACTTTCTAGCTGTGGGAGCTTGGTCATATTACTTAACCTCTCAGAGCCTCAGTTTCCTCTGAAGAAGAAGAAGAAGAAGAAGAAGAAGAAGAGGAAGAAGGAGAAGAAGAAGAAGAAGAAGAAGAAGAAGAAGAAGAAGAAGAAGAAGAAGAAGAAGAAGAAGAAGAGGAAGAAAAGGAAGAAGGAGAAGGAGAAGGAGAAGAAGAAGAAGAAGAAGAAGGAGGAGGAGGAGGAGGGGGAGAGGGAGGGAGGAGGGGGAGGGGGGGGGGGAGAAGAAGAAGAACTAACTACTTCTCAAGGAAGTAATCTGTGGAGTTTAAATGATTTAAGGTTTACAAAATGGTTAGTGCAATGCCTTCCACATAGTTGGCTCCCATATATTTTATTCACTCAATGTGTTATCTGCCTGGAAGCTCAGACAAGTTCATTTTCCAGAGTCCCTGACACTGCTTCTCTGGGAGAGAGTGGGAGAGGCCTCCTGGGGCTCAGGGCCAACTCTGGAATCCAGGAGATTCCAAGAATCTGGGAAATGCCTTGCAGGTGTCTACACACCGCTAGATGGCACTGTGAGATCACACGGATGCTTTTTCTGTCGGGTCAGAGCTCCTGCTCCACATTCAAGCCCGCTCTTCACAGTTACCCCAGTCTGTTGCCTTTTCCTCGCCCAGGGAAATGTGTATGGCCTGTCTAATCATCATAGCTATGGGACTCCAGGGGTGCGGCCACAGACAGGGCCAGCCCCCAGTCCTGCTTTCACTGGAATCCTCAGATTCCCAGGGTGGGGGCAGGGCATGGCAGGTGGGGGGTGTAGGCTGGGGGTGGTGGCGGGAGGGCAGCTGCAGGCCATCATTAAGTGGGGAGCAAGCCTGGGGCTGGTGGGTGGATAGCTGGCTCTGAGGAGTGCAGCCAGGCTGGTCCAGTCAAGGACCTCAGATGATGAGTTCCGGGGCAGGAGGCTGCCTGGAAGAGTGTTTATGCCTTGGGGATAGAATTCCAAAGCGTGGCAGGCACCTGACTGGAGAGCACCTTCCTCTGACTGCAGCTTCCATTATGGGCACATTGGGATCAGGGATCCACTCCCATGCCTGTTCCTGAGCCCAGACTGGCAGTAGCATGGGACGAGGAAGGAATCCCTCAGTGCCTGGAAGCCGACAGCGGTGTTTCCATGGCAGGGAGAAGCTGCCTTCAGTGTTGGGCTAAGGAAGGGTGACAGCACGTGCGGGGGCCCTACACCATCATCTTCAAGGAATTCGAGTGGCCTTGCAGAGTCTCCTGCTCTTTAACTTCAGACTTACATACCACATCTCAGAGACGGCCAGGGGCGATCATAATTCTGCTTTCACAGATGGAAAATAAAGGCTGAGAAAAGAGAATTAATCCTATAGTTAGATAACCCTGTGCCCCTGGGAGGGGACCATCGCTCCTTGAGTGGAGCGACACCAGGGTCCTGGAGAGTTTGACTAAGTCCACGAACAGGTATGGATGGCAGACACTGCAGAAATGCCTACTGTGAGGCAAGTGGTGGCCAGATCCTAAAAATGCCAAAAGCGGGAGGGCCATTGAGGTTATCAGATCACCTGGGCCCAAGTTTTTCTTATTTTTTTTCCACCACAAAACCACTTTGTGCAGTGAATTCTTGTGGAAAAATACATAGATGAGAGAAGAAAGCAGAACCACTCAGCCTCCCCCTTAGTTGCCAGCCTTCTCTGCTCTGACTTTGGGGAAGTCTGGGGCTCCAGAGCATGCTTTTGAAAACCACAAGCCGAGTCCAATGGCCTCATTATAGACAGGAGAAAAGTGAGGGCAGAGAAGGAGGCACTGTCCCACAGCTGGCGAGCAGCAGAGTGAGCCCCACCGTGGAACCCTAGGGGTGCTCTTTCCTGTGCAGCATCACCTCGGTTCTCATGCAGGGAGGCTCAGGAGGAGCTGGGTGGAGCCCTTTGTGCAGCCCCACCTCTGGGGAGCTGAAGAGGCTCTTCTCCTTGCAACCTGCTTGGGGTGGAGGTGGCTACCTGGAAGGACTTGATGAAGGTCCACAGCAGGGTCCGGATGCCCTCCCCACGGCTCAGCAGCTTGACCAGGCGCATGACCCGGAAGAGGCGGAAGAAGGTGATGGAGATGCGAGAGTTCTCCTCTGCATTCTGGAATCCATTGGTAATAGGAGGTGGTAGTTAACACGGCAACAAAGAGGGGCGGGGCAAGAACGAGGTGGGCCCTGTTCTGAGCAACACAGCCCTTGGCTGGGGTGGAGGCAGAGCAGGGCAGGGTTAGCTGCACTAGATTCTCTCCCCTGGGCCACAGATGGGAGGCAAGCTGCCTACCTTTTCCAGGTAGACAACTCAGGCCTGAGGTCTCTGCAGAGCCAAGCTGTGCCCAGGTCCCTGAGCCCATAACCCTGTTTATCTATTCTCCTCTTTTGCCCTTTAATCCTAATTCTTAACCTCCTAGGAGGAGCAACAGAAGATTCCATAAGGAACTTCCAGATGCTTTGAAATCTCCTAGGCTGAGAGCTAGCTGCCTTGGGTGCATGCTGCCTCTGCTGCATGCTGAGGAAGCAGCCCAGCCTCTCTCTTGTCTGGCTTGTCTGGGGGATGTGCATCTGGAGTGGGATGTGGCTCTGTGCAAGGTGGTTGGGTGGGTCGGGTCATGGCCTCCATCTCAGCCCTAGGTATGATTGCACCAGTGGTCCTGATGGGCCAGGTGGGCTGACAGTTAACAGTTGGGGTGGGTTGCCACTGCAGGGATCTTGTGCCATGGAAGCTCAGGGTTCCAGACTTCTGCTGTGCCATCTCTTTCCACATGGCTATAGGGAGAGTGGGGATAGGGATACTGCTCAGTGCTCAGATGGTGTCTGTTTCACAGTCCTTGCCTCCCCTTGGGCTCTGAAGCTGTTCTCCTTCTACTCCCCTCTGCCCTGGGGCCTCAAGGAGGCCCTAACCCTCTCCAGGCTGTAGGAGATCCTAGAAGGGGTGGGAGCACAGGCTGGGTGAGGTGGGGGGCAGTCCCTTGAAGTGAGCCCTAAAGTCCCGGCCATTCTGCTGGAACCCTAAGGGGTTCTGCTTAGGGTAGATCATCTCCCCAGGACAGTGCTGAAGCTCAAGGGCAAGGGGAAGGTGAAGAAGGATCAAATCCAGGCCAAGGCAAGTGGACGTAGGAATATGGTGATGCTGGGGGTCAGCTGGCTAGCAGGGCGAGCTTGGTGGACATGGAGGGACCTGGGGCTGGGGCAGATGCCTGCCCAGGGCTCAGGGGCAAGGCAGGCTGCCCCGTCACACTCTGCCTCCAGACCTGAGAACAACATGCACTGACCCCCTGCCCCCCTTCTTGCCCACACCAGCCAGAGAGCCAGTGGTGGCAGCCCCTTGGCAGCCCCTTGCCTGTTCCCCGGTGCTAGTGCAGCTCACCCAGCCCTGTCAGCACCAGGAGAGAATGGACCTTTGGGCTTCCTGTTACTGTTCCTGTCCTGTGCCTCCCTCAAGGCAGGAGGAGTCTCTGGTCCTTGGATCTGTGTCTGCCCCTCCCCATTCCTGATTCACTGCTCTGCTTTTTTTTTAATCCTTTCCAGGCCAGATCCTCCCTGAAAACATCCACCCCTTCTTGGCACCACTGAATATCCCATTAGCACGAATGCCCTTTGTTCTAACTCCATGGCCTGCTGACTCTCATTGGCAGTGGCCGGTGGTTCCCAAGGCCACCCATCGTACTACCACTGTTCAGCACAGGAGACCCACAGGGTGGCAAAAACCTCAGAGGCAGCAGCTTACATGCCGGCACACCCTCGCTCTTCGCTGGCAAGGCGGCACAGAAACCACGTCCGAAGGCTCTTGCCTAGTTCTCTGGCTCTCCAGACAGGGGTAGAGTCACACTATTTCTTCTATTTTCAAACCACAGCTGCCTCAGATCCTCCCGTTGGGCCTGCTTCCACAGGCAGGGTGACCTGTGAGCGTCTGGGGGCTTGCTCATGGGCTGTCACAGGGCTGGGGATGGGAACCCTCCTGTCCCTGAGCCCTATCCTGCCTGCGTATTTTGAAGTCTGATGTCCGTAATCTCTGCATTTCTATCACCTGTGTATCTACTTGAAATTCTATTTTCTCTCCTTAAAAGGAGGTTGTGTTTCCCCAGAGGAGAAGGCAGAGGAGGCTCAGGGTTTTCTAACTCAGCTGTCAGTTCCACCATGTTCGGGAAAGGAGAAAAAAGAAGAAAGAACAAGCTTACTCGGGGAACTGCAGCTGTGAGTGTCAAGAGTTTGAGAAGTTGGCCACAGGGGCATCTGGATCCGAGGAGTTAAAAAATAAAAGTCAAGCTTGCAGTCTGAATTCCATGCTGGGTTTACAACCCTCCCTGGTTCCCCCAAGTAGCTGTAGTTTCCTAGCGCTCTAGAAGGAGGTGAAGCGCATTTCCATGTAGACACAAAAAACATCCTCTAAGAAACCAAATGGCAACGCGGGGAAGAAGCAGACCCCAGTGGCTGCCCTGTGAAGTAGGGGACAATGTCCAGGTTCAGCCTTTCCCTGGCTGCCTTCCAGCCAGCCTAGGATGGGCTGTGTTAGGAGATATCACCAGCCAGCACAATCTTGCCCCCAGTCTGCTGACTTTCAGGGAATCAACCCACTCGACGGCCCTTTTTAAAACTCACACTTGGCTCAGTTTTAAAACATGTGACAGCAGCTTTTTGGAGAAGGCTGCTCCAAGGAGTCTTCAAGGTCACACCCAGTGGCATCTGTCACTTTCGGCAAAGCAAATCATAGATTCCTACATCAGGAGTGGCCCCATCAAACTACTGAGTTTACTTTTCTGCTTGCAGCCCGCTGCAGAAAAGTGGGGATAGCCGAATTTTAATGAACTTCAGCAATTTAGAAAAATTCATGGGTATCTTTGTTGGAGTGGTTGGATACTCGCTACGCTCTCAGTAACAAATTCCAGCTTACATCTTTTACTGCAGCCTTAAATACCGAGCACATGGGAGGCCAGTCGTTACAGACACTGGATGATTAGTGGGAAGTCATCTTTTGACTTTCTGTTGTCCCTCTCTTTCCTCTTTTCTCTGGAGGCCCTTACCATGGTGCTCATGGGTGCCCTGCACAAATTTTCCACGTCAGATTAAGGCTAGAGAATTTAGCCAGTGGAGTCCTCAGAATATTTAACAGGAAATGGCCCTTGGGTCCAATTCTCTCCCGGTGGTTCATTAGATGGTCAAGTTCACAGTGAATTATCACCCAGAGGAAAGCTCAGGGAGGGAAAAGAACACCATTACACAAACAGTACTTCACAGCTCACACGCGACCAGGCAGGCGAGGCACAGGACAGACATGACATGGTGGCTACATGCAATGGGAGCAAGGCTGGGCTCCAAGAGACTCTGGGGACTGGGGTGGAAGGTGATAGAGGGGGTGTTAGAGGAGGGTCACAGAAGCTAAGAGCGTGGTCAAGAGGGTCGGTCTTACCATAAAGGGAGAGCATTGGGTATGTTCAGCTGGCTTTAAAGAAAGGCAGATAGAGATAAGCTGTAATGAGTCTCCAACGAAGATGCCTGGTATTCTAGGTCTCGGCTAACACAGGAGCAACACCGTGGCAGGGGAGGGCAAAAGGAAACAAATGAAAGAAATACAAAGCATAGGCCAGGCAGGTTCTGGGACATCACCGTGAGTGGACTCTGCCTATGTGTGTCTTATGTCTAGTGAGGACCCAAAGGCATTCCCTACTCAGGAACATCTCTGGGGACACATTAAATAATTTACACTCGTGGTAAATGAGGTCTTCAAATTTTGTAGGGGGAGGTTTTGTTTTGTTTTTTTTTTTAAATGAGCTATGTCTCTTAAGATAACCTTTGAGGGTGTGCACTTTATTTACCTTAGGTTACCCTGGGCGTTGCCAGCTGAAGGAGAAAGGCCTTAGTTATGCCTTGTGCCCATCCCTGCCCAAACGTACTTGAGCAGAAGAGTTCACAGGCAATGACCCTTCAAGTTTAGGGGAAAACTGAATTTTAGTTATCACCGAGGAGGACCTAAAGAGGTGGTCCTCAACCCCCTCTGTAGTGGGGGCTCGTTCTCAAGCCTAGGTTCAGGTGGGAGATGGTCCTGTTTAGCTCCTAGTCTATAGGTGTAGAGCCTTGGCCATTGGTGTGAAATAATGAATGCTTTTTACATTTTGAAGCCTTACACACAATTTGGATACTATTATTAACCCTCAAAAAAGCTGTTTTTATGGGTCTGACTGCTGAGTTCATTTTAGGGCAGGAACTGATGAAATTGGCCACTGGTGAGTGTCCCATTGCAACCCCCAGTTCCTTGAGCCTGTATCCAGGAAGATGCCCCTACTCATTGGGTCCAAGCACAGAGAGCTCAGCCCTTGATGGATCCTGACCATCTGAGCTGTTAACTCTTTCTAGAAGGTCATGACTTTGCTTTTACCCTCCACTTTCAGATAGTTGCTCTTGTGTTTCTGTTTTTAAGGTACAAACAAGGAAACATGTAATGGAATTTTTGAAGGATGGAAATGTGCACAACTAGACATTTACTTGCAGACTGAAAATACTTCTTTGGTAACAGATTTCTCAGCAAATTCCTTTTTTTTCCCTATAGCAAATTGGTAAAATGTCCTTTTTTGGGAACGGTGGAGAGGAAGGGTGAGGCGAGGGAAGAAAAGGGAAGGGACACCTCTCTAGTCATTTACAGAGGCATTCTAGATCTTGCTTTTTGCTTCATGAGGAATACCAGCTGCCAGGTCAGTTGAAAGGCCTGGAGGCTGTGGGGTGACTAGAATTTAGCCAGTAGGCTTAGATAGAACATAGAAACACACACACACACACACACACACACACACAGAAGTAATTTCAAGTTGCTTGAATGCTTGTGTTCTTGTGTTAATGGGTAAGGAGTTCTGTGTTTCTAGAGCTACAATGGGGAAGGGAGTGTGAATCAAACAGAGGTAAATCTACACTACATGTAATGCCATGCCATTAGATAGAGTTCCCATAGGTGGCATGGGCCATTGCTATCTTGGATCCATCCTGAAAACCACCAAAGCTGCCATTACTCCTAAGAGCCCTGGGAAAACAGTTAAGCATCTTCTGGGTGAATCCCATCTGGAACAGGACCAGAACAGAGACAATTTAGAGAACCTATCTGGGTCATCCGGCCCAAATGAGTTAACCCCCAGCCATGAAAAAATTTAACCATTTATCTTACTTCTTAAACATTCAGAATTCTACATGTAAGATTTTTAAATGTATTAACTGTGTTTTTCTTTGTTGCTTTTTAGCTTTTCACAGCTTTCATTGAATGAAGATCTCATCTATTTAAGTTATATTATACTTCAGGATTTAGTTGCATGTGTTCTAATCACCTTGTATATTATTATTTTAATAATTTTATTTAACTTAATAATCCTTATGATATACCTCTATAATAGCAGTCAAGAAGAAGTAAGGAGGAGCAATAAGGGCAGAAGGGAGAGGAAGGTCGGGGGTCTCTGGGACTCCTATGTTGGGTCCCCAGCCCAGGTAATGATAGTTCTCCTAAGAGCGTCACTTTGGGAGAGTCTGGAGACTCATTTTAATCTGGAGATTAATTTTTTTTCTTGGGCCTTAAGATATGCTATTCAAGGGGCATTTTTGACCTGCTGGAGCAGTGTTTGTCAATGTCTCACATAAGCCTGTTCTTATTTGAAGAACTATGTATATAAGGTCCAGAGTCTCAAAAATAACTAACCATTCATATAAAATCAGAAAGCAATCACTGGGTGATTTCTAAGTGGAAACAATAGGAAAAAGCCTGACACACAGCCCTTGCCCTCACAGAGCGCACAGTATGTGACATAATGCCAACCCCCTAAGTTCATTTCCTAGATGATCTTGTGTAGTCATTCCAGTCTTCGGCACCCTTGCTTGGCTGCCAGCGGAATCCCTTGGTGAGCTAGAAGGGGAGATGGGACCCACTGAGCTTTGGCACCTGCACGTCTAGCCTAGAGCCATATTTGTACTGTTTGCCACTCTCTGTGATTCCCCGGTACACTGTCCTGAAAGACCACCTAGAATTAGTTCTACTTTTTGAAATAAATCCAGAATTGCTTGGTAGCCTGGAGTACTTATGCCATCTGTCTCTGATCCCTTCCCAGATTTGCTCCCAGTTCCCCTGAGTTAGCTTAGAGTTTCTCCATTGGTGGTCTTCCTGGGGAAGAAAAGGTGGAAAAACTCTGAAGACTTATGCCCCATGAGCCTGGAAACCTTACCTGTACTATCCTTCTACAGTGAGCCAGGAGAGCTGCTTACCTATTCTGAACAGTGTGGCTGAGTTTTCCAATGGCATCCTGTCCAGTATTGGTAGACACTGAGCAGCCAATTATTTCATCTTTGTTTTCTAATGATCTGGTAATTTTCAAGGGTTTTATTTTTTTTAATAGTTTATTGTCAAGTTGGTTTCCATATAACACCCAATTTTCAAGGGTTTTAAAGATATTGGGCAATTAACTTAATTTGTTCATGCAATTGGTATAAATGAAATAAGGTTATTATTCAATTGGTGAGGCAGAGGTGGAACATTTTCATAAGAGTCCTGGCTAGTGGTTCCAGCTAACAGGCTAAGGGCAAATAGAAAGGAAAACTCAAGTACCTTCTTTGTACTTATGCAGATTACCTAGGTTTGGTATACCTGGCAATGATGATATGAGTGCCACTGGACAGCAAATAGGAGATATTCTCTGGAAAACTGTCTTTCTGAATCAAGTTCAGGATCAAATTATAAGTTATCACCTCAGTGGATGAAGTCTTAGTTTCTGGAATGTCCTCCCTGCTCCTTTTCATTGCGGTACCATCTTTAGACCAAGCATGGGTAGGATACTGAAGAGTGAAACTCAGGGTATACCAGAGGCTGGTAAAGAGAGGATTCTCCTGGATGGAGATTTTTCGAAAAAAATGAATGGCAGAATCAGAAGAGCATGTCTCTCAATTGTTAACATTACATAGTCTCTGTGAAGAACTAAAAGGTTGTTGAAAAATAGCTCTTAGCCATATAAAAGGGGATTTTTTTTCTCAACACAGCAAGGAGGCAAGGACTGCTAGAGATTAGAGGCTGGGCAGTAGTTATCTCGGCTGGAGTACCCAAGCAAGCTATCTTCCAGGATATTTTCTCAAGATCAGGCCATTACAGAATGAAATCTGGCCATTTGCAACAACGTGGATGGAGCCATTCATAAGCCACTGCTGCACTGTTCTGGACATGCTGACTTTGAAAGGGGCAGCTTACCTTCTGATTCCCTCCAGGGAAGGTTGGCTCTTGGCTAAGTCATGAACAGGCCCCACAGAAGAGGAATGCACCATTCCAATGGCTGTCATTGAGACAATGGCTATAATCGCAGTTGCTGAAATTTTACATTTCTCTGAAACATGAGTCAAAAGCAACATCACAGGAGCATGTGAGTCTTTTACTAGCTACCCTGCTACAGAACTGTTGCTTTTTAAAAATTTTTTATTAAGTATCTCTTGTCCAGAGCTTAGGGAGTGGATCTAATATAAGTTCCATTTCAGACAACCTGAAGTTCTGGGTCCAGCTGGCACCCTCCCCACCTCCCAAGCTCTGCTCCCTGCTTGTCTGTATTCACTGTCTCTAATCTCATCTTAATTTGATCTGCAACACAGGACAGCTGGTTCAGTTGCAAGAGTGTCATGGGATGGTGGAAGACTGAGGAGTTGGGGTTTTGTTGGTGAGACTCTAGTTAATCTAAGTTGGGAGGACAATTATCAGTTTGGTACATGCAGAGATAACTGGGAATGGCAGGAGTCAGGGGCCTTTCGAGACATTTGACACCACCTTCAGTCAGGAGCTAGCAAGTGTAGGTTAAGGCAGGAGAGTCTTCATTATCCTTTTTTTTTTAATCTCCTCTTTCAACCAGGAACTAAAGTGTGGCCCTGTGGATGTGGAGGTGGGAGATACTGAAACTTAGAGCCACCAGAGACGGCAGCAAGGAAGGGAATTTTAAGGAGGCCAAAGTAAAATATGATTTAAACTGTAAATCCCCTGAAGTTGAATGAAGAGCTTCTTTGCTAGGGAGATGCAAAGTTTAAATAAGCGTAAGTCAACTGGGATATATAGAAGCTGAGGGTAGATGTTAATGGCTTTCAGATTTAAGGGCAAATGAAGGAAATATGGGTTGTTGAAAGCAGTTCTTAAGCAGAATTTCCATTTTGGTCTGTGGAGGAGGTCTTTGGTCTTTAGAGATGGATCTGTGGAGGAGGGGTGCTAGGAAAAGGAAGAAGGGGTAATTACAAGGGAGGCAGAAACACTGGACAGAAAAGGGCAGGGGAAAATTAAAGGAAGCCCAAAGATGGGGCAGTGGAGAGTGAAAAGAGCAGCCCTCCTTTCCCCCTTGTCCACCTGTCCACCATGTTGGAAACATCCTGGTTTGTATCTGTTTCCCATTGTAAAATTCTAGCCAAAAAGAGAAGGGCCCTTCTTGAATCTTTGTGGTTACAGACACACAG